GACTGAGCTGAGCTCTTAGGCAGAAGCTCTTCCCTGTGAGGGTGCTGAGGCGCTGGCACAGGATGCCCAGAGAAGCTGTGGCTGCCCCATCCCTGGCAGTGTTCAAGGCCAGGTTGGACACAGGGGCTTGGAGCAAGCTGCTCTAGTGGAAGGTGTCCCTGCCTGTGGCAGGGGTTGGAGCTGGAGGAGCTTTAGGGTGCCTTCCAACACAAACCAGGCTGGGATTCTATGACCTCCAAATATGTGGCATTAATACACTTTAATAATACACTTAGGTATGGTACCAATCTGGTCACAAATACTGGAGGTCAGAAATACAAACCCCCAAAAGAGGACAAAGCAATGTCAAGAAAGACATTCCCTGGCAATCAAGGAGCAGGCACGTATAAAATATACCATTGCTCAGGCCACGGGGTCAGTGTGGATTTACACAAGCAGGAGACCAAGAAAGAAGCAGCAGCACTTAGCAAAAACAGCAGGGATATCTTAGCTACTGCAATACCACTCCCACCTTCTAAGTAGGGGATACTAACAGTGGAGGTGCTTCTGATTTAGAGATTACTATCAAAATGGAAAAAGACAGTCAAATTTGCTATTTGACTAAAAATCAAGGGCTTTTTCCCCCCTTTCAGAAAACAATACGTATTTTAGAGTAAAACAGAAAACAATATATATATACATTATAGTATTTTCCCACAACAATTCAGCAAGAACAACTTGTTGAATTTGCTGCAATGCTTTCAGCAGGCTCCCTGCCCTTGCAGCAGTCACTGCATGTTGCAGTGGCAAAATGAGGTTGATAAAAATGATCTGTAGCTTGAATAAGAACTTTCCTTTTCTATCCAATCACTGCCTGCATACTGCTTTTGGGAGTCTTGATCAGAGGACACTAAAAAGCATGCAGTAACATTTATCATCACTCTAGGACATAATCTCTATAAGCAAAATACACATAAAACAGCAATTTTACTCAAGAGAAAAGGCCTTGTTCTAGATCAGAGTGATGGAAACTATAGACAAAGACTGCAACAAGATCCTGGTGTGACATTAACACAGCTGTACCTCCTAACACTTTAGTATTTTCTTATCATTCAAGATCCAAAGTATTTAATGTTACACACAAGTTTACCAACAGATGGAGTGTATCACACCCAGCACAGCAGGGAAGGAAGCAAGATCTGATTAAGAACCTGGGTCTGGCTAATGTTTTTGATCACTTTTTGCAGCATCTCCATAGGTCAGATTAGGCTTTGTTCTTACCACTGCACAAGTACCATAAACTTGAATGATCTATGGGTTATGAAATGAAAGAAAGCTGCTGGTTAACCAAGATGAGATTTTCACCTGAGTTCCAAGGAATATAAGATTACTTTTGCATTCAAGGTCTGAGCTCTCTTCACAGAGAGGAGTCACCTTCTCTGGGCTGAAGTCCTGCAGGGCAGCAGGTATGGGTGAAACAAAATTCTCCATCAATGCTCTCATGTGTCCCACATGGTTAATACCTTATGACAGGGGTCAACAGTGCAGATTTCACTGATTTCCAGGTCGTGCAGCGACATGAGGAGCTCTGCCCGTAGTGTGCAGTAATGAATATTCCTTGTGCGGAGGAACAGGGTTCTCAGAAACTGCAACACCATGTCATAGAGCTTCACGTTCTTCCCAATCATCTGGGTCAGCTTCTGAACCACCTAAACAAAGCAGAAAAAACGTGCACTCAGTACCAAGAGATGCTGTTATTTCACACACACATGATGTGAATTCCTTCTTTTATCTGATTTATTGAGATTGAACCACCTGCACTGAGAGGAGTTCCTGAAAGGAACTATTTATACCAAGATTTCCAAGAGCATTTGTTCAAGAGATGTTCACTAAGTCTTTCATAGCCGTAATGAAATAGAGAATGCCCAGAAAAGGTTCTCTTGCCAAAGGAAATAGAAGCATTTGTAGAATAAGGTGCTCAGCTATGTGAAAGAAGCAGCACCTGTTATTGATGAATCACAGAAACAGCTGATCGCTTCTTTGAGCAGATCCAACTCACTCTTGGAAAACTACTCACTGGTTTTATTTGCTAGAGTTACCATAGCAATTATTGAGCTGAATCAGGGTGACAATCACCAGAGCTACAGGTACACAGTAGCAGCCCCTGCCCTTCCTGTGGCTGAGTGTTGGATCAGCTCAGGCACCTCCTGCAATCCCATTCAAACAGCAACCTCTCTGAATGCCAGCTTAGCTACAACTTGCTGCGTCCCTTTCCAATTGTGCAAAACAAATTAATAACTACAGTTTTTGTAAGCCTATGTCCTCAAGAAAAGCAATTTAACATACTCAAACTGATTTGATAGAGATCATCAGCCTTTGAAACAGCTGAGATGTATTAAAGCCACACTAAGCAACAAAGGAAATTTGGCCTTGCCTTTTTTTTAAAGCACATAAACAGCTCAGAACATTAATGAGTTATTGCTCAGCACTGAGTAACTATTAAAGTAATTCCTGCTCCTTTCATCAAGAGATGTAGGAAGAATCAGCCTGGTATTTCTGGCAAATACTTTTTCTAGTTAAACAGCTTCAGTAGCAAAGTTGGGTGGGTGAAATGGACACCGTTATTTGCTGAGGTGGAGTGAAAGCTGATGAATTCCACTCACAAGCCTGTTGACAGAGGTTTCCTTGTCCTTACCTCTCCTTGACGCCTCGTTTTGGGAGATGGACTGAAGAAATTGTGCAAGACAGAAATGTCACTGCTGAAGAGAACATTCTCCTTCTCCAGGATGTATTGCTTCAGCAGTGGAGAAACCTCATCACCAAACAGAGCCTGGTTGTCCTGCCAAATCTGGCGCTTCACCTCCACTGCACAGGCTTTATACAAGTCCTTATCAGCCATTACCAACTTCAGCTTCTTTTCAGGGACCTGCAATCAACAAAGCAGTTACCAAGTGCAGAGCAGCTCACCTGCCTGACTGTGCAGGGAGTAAGAACTGACTGCAGAAGACATCTAAATCATAATCTGGTAATGTGCACAAGAATGCAATTTCACACCAGGCAGTATGAGACTCACCTTTTGCCTCACCTACCCCTGTAAAAGCCAGTCCTCAGACAACTTCTTCAACAACAAAGTGACACCCCAACCTTTTCTTTACTTCTTTCAAAGAGAATAAAAGACTTCCTTTAAATCTCTGATGCTGAGATCTGGGACAATGTTTCAATAACTTACAAAAGTTCTAGTAGCAGTTTTGAAGCCATTACCTTAAGTACAATATGACACTCTTAATAAGGCTACTCTGAGATTTCATTCACAGATCTGAATGTCACTCCTTCTACCTCTAACTGTGGTCTTCAAATCTCATTTTCCAGTTGTCATTACATCAGCTGTGGAAAACTTCACCTATCAGTAAACTTGACAATGTTTAGGAAGCTGCCTATATTGAATAAAGCAGGGAAATAGCCTCATCTAACTATGAAAATGTAAAATGCTTTTTGAATTACTCTAAGTTATTACCAGATAAGGTAGTAAATCTTCAGTCAGCTCCTAACACTGAATGACAAACTTGCATTTGTCTGCAGATGGAGCACGCAGCCCATCCAACGGCACAGCTAAGAGAAGCTGCACAACAGAGATGCTTTTACCTTGGGCAAGTGCTTCATGACACACATGACCACAGGCTGAATGGAAGGCATCTTGACCAGGGAAAAGCTCTTCTCTAGGAGATCTTCCAGCTTTTTGTATCTGAAAACATAAGCACAAGAGACTAAGTACCACATAACAGTTAAGCATCAAAGTGGCTCATCCCAAAGCCACCAGAACTCGATCCCCGAGGAACCCAGCCCTTGCAGAAGTCACTCATCCACTGTAACTCGTGTTCACACAGACCTCCCAGCTCACTCGGACCAACCAGCAAGCCTTAACAAACCTCTCCTCGACCTTCCCTTCCAAGGCGATGGCAGAGACCCTCTCCAGCAGCTTCTCCCTCAGCTCATCGAAAACCGACTGGTGGAACTCCAGCCGGGGGGTGCCGTGCAGGTCCAGGAAGGGCAGCGCCGACTGCAGCGAGGGCAGCAGCACCCCATTCTCTGTCTGCCAACACAAACACCATGCGAAAGGACAAACCCCGCAGAGCAGAGCCCTCCTCGGGCCCTCCCGCTCCCCACCACCCCGCAGCGCCGGCCCCGCCGCTCGGACACCTTGTCCCACCGCACCTGGAACTGCTCGATGGCCTTCAGCGGCTCCGTGCAGTTGGTGAGCGTCTCCTTCAGGTCCTCGCCGTTGGCCACCCCCAGCTCCTGCAGCCCCGCGTACATGGCGGCTGCCGGCCCCCCCGGGCCCGCTCCCACAGCGCCGCGGTCCGACCCACCGCGGGTCCCCCGGCGGAGCGCGGTCCGGCGCTGCGCCCCGCCCCGCGGAACCCGCTCCCGCACACAAAGGTTCCGCCACACAAAGGCTCCTCCGCGGGATACCCGGGCTGCCCGCACCCCCGCCGGCACTGGGGAGCCCCAGGGCACGCTGCTGCGGCAGCAGCGTTAGGGCAGCGCGCTCGGGGTTGCAGCGGGGCGAGGGGAATCCCTCCCTGCGGGGCAGCCGCAGCGTCTGGCTGATCCCTGGCAGAGAGCGATGGAAAGGGGAAATGGAACCAAAACCGGCCTCAAAAAGAGGCCTTTTCCCGTTCATGGTTTGAGATCTGCAGGATCATACTTTCGGGATAGCTGGTACAGAGTGAGGAAACAAATCTTACTGTCTTTCACAAGGGCTGCAGGGAGGCACCAGGGTTATATTAAGCTGCATCGGTCCAATCCATTGCAGAAACCTCTTTGGCATCTTCCCACCAAATCTAGTGGCAAACCAATAGTGGCAACTAATATCTAGGCAAATCTAATGGATTTAGAGCCTACACACACACCCAAACCATTCTAAGGCTGGGCTGCTGTTGACAGACCCCTGTGAACCTGGATATCCAAGCAGAACAGATGCTCTCCACTATTCCCAGCCATGAGCTGCTGCAATGCCCACCACAGCACTTGAAAGCCTGCCTGTCCTCATGGGCAAATGGGAAAGCAGAACCATGAGGATTGTCAGCACTCTGGAGATTTAATCCCAGTGCCCTTTGCAAAGCAGAGCATTGTCAGCTCAAGTGCAGGCAAAACAAAGAATCCCAGCCTGGTTTGTGTTGGAAGGGACCTTAAAGCTCATCCAGTTCCAGCCCCTGCCATGGGCAGGGACCCCTTCCACTAGAGCAGCTTGCTCCAAGCCCCTGTGTCCAACCTGCCCTTGAACACTGCCAGGGATGGGGCAGCCACAGCTTCTCTGGGCACCCTGTGCCAGAGCCTCAGCACCCTCATCATCAAAAACGCTTTCCTCATGTGCAATCTAAGACTGTCCTCTTTCAGTTTAAGAGCATTCCCCCTTGTCCTATCACATCTGTAGATGCATTCTAGTCACTGACCAGCAAAATCAGAACTGGGGTCTAAAGTCTGCAGGAAGAGGAGGGAATTCTGCCACTGCTTAAAACAACTCTAAGATGGAGAAGTGCATCTCCAAATACCCCTCTGCAAGGCCAATGAGGTGTTCTGCAAACAGGGGCCTGGCTGGTGAGCTCCTCTGGGGGGGACAAGGTGGCCTTGCCAGTAAATGGTTCAGCTCACACATGCAAAAGCTTTTCTTTATGCAGTTGCACTTTTATTCCTAGACCCAGTCCCTGGGAACCAGATGGGGACAGGCTGAAAGGAGCCCATCTCCTGGGAACAACACATCTTTCTCCAGGAATTCTGATTTGGGGGACATGTCTTTGTGGCACCAGAAAGGAGAAAGCAGGCACATGCTTTGTAAAGCCTGGGGGTTGGTTATCCTTCATGGGAAGGCTGTGGAAGGGGTGTACAGACACCTATGCTGACACTGACCTTCTGGAGGCAAAGTTCCAAGCACCCCTGCTCTCTCCTACCCACAGCAAAGGCCAAAGCAGCCAGAGTGTCCTGTAGGTATAAACCCAAATGTGCATGGGTTTTCCTGTCCCAAGTGCCACCAGATATGAGGCAGGAGCAACCTGCAGGAACTGTGCTTTGCTCCAGCCTGGTGCACACGTGCTTGCAGAGAAGCACCCCAGGTTCACCCTGGAGCCCTCAGACCTAAGTAAACCCAGCATAAGGAGTTTCCCCACTTCTAATTCTGACAGCTAGCACTGCCAGGAGCAGAATACCAAACACATGAGTTCTGCCTGCTCTCTGCTCATCACACAGCTGAGTTAACCCCACAGGTCTGTTTACCTCAACCCCATTGCCTGGGGCAGTTTCGAGGTTGCACTGATGCCTTTGCACTGGAACAGGCACGAAGCCATCATTGTATTTACTGTGTGGAGGGATGGAAGGAGAACTGCTTGAGTCATCGCTCCCTGTGGTCCCTGTGGCTTGGGGCTGGGCTGAACCCAGAGCCTGGCCCCAGCTCCGCCTTTCTCCCCTTTTAAAGGTGGAAGCAGCCGCTGTCAGTTCACTGCTCCACTGCTTCCTCTCGTGTCTCTCTCTAGGGAGAAAGTGCTTCATGTCTTGGCGTGAACTGCTTCCCCCCTGGCTGGTGATCGTGGCAGGACTGACGGGCATCGTGCTGCTCTGCGTCTCCACTAAAGATGTGCCCTACACCCCTCTCAGGACCAAGGTAAGAGCATCCACCTAAGGGGTGGCCAAGCTGGGGTCAAGTGGGACAATAAGCAGAAGACCTTCTCCTTGCCTATGGGGCCACTTCTTAAGGAGAACCTGCTGTTTCCTTGTGCAAGCTGGGCATTTGAACTGGTGTGTTTTGTTGCTTTTTACATTCATGGCACTACTGAGATATTTACTAGCCTGAAACAAACTGAAGAAGGGACTACCGTAAGACTATGAGGACAGGTTGGCATACTTTAACATGCTGTATCTTTTCAAAGTGAAAAGACAAACCAACCCCTTTGGCTGGACTGGGAAATACAGGCTGGATGTGGTCCATGCATCAGCAGAGATGCTCACCACAGGCTGGGGAGTGGTAGCTCATGTTAGAAGCCACCCCAAGAGTCCAGAGGTGTTAGGGGTGGGAAAGAGCTAGGTCCCTTTTCAAAGTTGGTAGGAATCTGGGCCTGAACTGCTGCTTCTCTATTAAATATATGTATTATATATATTTTATACATGTATATCTATCTGTGTATCCATATATATCTTCCATGCCTTCTCCTCTTCTGTTCTCTCTTGATTTTAACCAAAGAACCAACCTGTTCTACATGGCAGGGTCAGACCTGCGTGGTGACCAGGGGGTTAATGCCCATCCGCTCTGCCTCTTGATGCACCGGCTGCTGAGGTGGGAGCAGTGGCACGCTATGGTTGAATCAAACAGAAGCAGGTTAACCTGTGTGGTTAGAGACACTACCCCTCCTCCACACTCCTCTAAGGGACAAAACTGGATTTAAAACAAAAAACCCCAAACCCTTACTGCTGCATGCTCTGTCCTTCCCTGGGGCTGAGCTGTGGCAGAAGTGCCGTGACCCTTGTGCTCCCAGCAGCCTCTCCTTTTGTGAAGGAGGAAGAACCCCAGGTTCCTCTGCCAACACCACCCATTCCTTCCTCTTCTGCAGCAGCCGACGTGTCCCTATGAGCAATAGGGGCTGTCACTCGTGTGGGCAGATGCCAGCAGGCTCAGGCAGCGAGCTCCATCCTCCTTCCGCATTTCTGCTCCAGTCCCAGGCACTGTGTCTGGTGCAGCTTGAACTCCCAAGGGATGAGGCAGCCAGCTTGGCTCTGAGGCTGCAGCCAGGCTCTGTCTTGTGCTAAAACCCTTCTGATGGTGTCAACATCAAACCTCTCGGGAGGTTTCTCCTCCCACTCAGTCACAGCTACAACTATTTCTGTGCAAGATAACAGCTTAGACCATGTCCCCCCCAGATCTCATGGATTTCTTCTCCATCTGTGTAAATACCCATTTGTGGTCATGTAATAGTGGGAGGAGAGAAGGAGACCCTAGGATAGCACTAGGGCTATTTTGAGCGTGAGGACATCCAGAACAGGCACAGAGCTGCACTGCAGGGTACACCAGTGGCCTCTCACTTCCCAATCCTCATGTATAAGCTGCAGCTCAGCAAAGCTTGGTCAGCAGCAAACAGCCCAGATGCTGGGCTGCGAAGAGACTAAGCAAGCCCTTGGCCTCCCTGCTAGGTAACAGGATGACTGTCAGTGGACAAGGTGTTGAGAAATCCCATGCTCGCTGCTGCTCTTTCCACCAAGATGTTATCTTGGTCTCAGTGGGGCTGCCGCACTGGACAGTGTATGTGCTGGATGGTCCCAGTGTGCTGCAGCTCCTGCCCACGTCGCACCATCTCCGCAGTGGGGCATCAAGGAGACGTGAGATTCAGGTTCCTCAGAAGTAGGAGCAAGCCACAGCCCTCTGATTCCTGCACAAAAGCTGTAGCAAACCAATCCAGCAGTAGCCTGAGTCCCAGAATCAGTCAAAAGCCTGGATACTGCCATCTCCCACTGGTTTAGGACCTGTTTTTCCTGAGCTCCAGGTGGCTCAGCTCAGCAGAAGCCCTCTGCCTGGTTTCAAGAACACAGCACACCACTGTAGTTCTGAAGGATTTCTGGGTGTCTCCACTCCTGCTGCTCCTCATGTATATTCAGAAATGCAGATGGTTCCCTGCAAATCCACATCATCTTCTGGCTTCACCCTTTCTTTGCATGTAAAAAGCTAACTCAGAAACTACAGTGCAGGCCCATGGGTTACCTATACAATGCTACAATAACAAAGCAGCACACGTTCAGTGGTGTTGATCTGGAATGTTTTTGGGGTTTTCTAGTATGGCATTGTTCTGGATGCTGGCCCATCCCGCACCAACCTGTTCATCTACCAGTGGACCACCACCAAGGCAAATAAGACCGGGGTGATCAGGGAATGTAGTTCCTGTCCTGTGCAAGGTAAGGTGTCTGATTTGTGCTGGCTGGGCTGTGGTACTGGCATGGGATGGATAGAAACAGAGAGATCTGTGCATGGATCATTACTGCAATGTCCTTGGCTCCTCTATCACAGGCTGTATCCTGAAACAGTGATGATAGTGAAGCAAAAGCTGCTTATTTCCAGCATGAGTCTTCTCAACATGGGCAGATTTAGTCATACACTGTGGGACATCAACAGCAGGTGATAGTTTCTTTAGCCTGCTGCAGCCACAGAAGCTCACAGAGGGGACAAGGCTCATCCTCATGTCCATATAGATCAGTGACACAGCCAAGGTTGCTGAGCTTCTCACCTAGTGAAGAGCAACAGAGACAAACCTGGCTGCAGGGTGACTCCTGGTGCGTTTTGCTTCCTCCTGGCTGTACTCTGGGCTCCGGTGTGTGTAGCTGGTGTAGCTCTGGAGCAACAGAAGTACAAAGACTCCAGCCCCCTATGTGGGGTTTGATAGCACAAGCATGAGTTCAGCGTGGATTTAGGTGTCACATTTTGGAGAATATTGGGGTCTTCCTCTCTAGTTTGAACCAGTTTAGCCCTGCCAATGCCAGCTGATAGGGTTTCATGCAGTAATGCTTGGGGTTTTCCTTCCCTATCTCTCAATCTTGCTCTGATGTTGAAGCCTGATTATAGCAGGATGCTGGGAACCCCTGAACTCCCAGTAGCAGTATGCTGTGGGAGGGCAGCTGCATAACAAGCAGGGAAGAGGGTTTGTGCCCTTGCAGGCTGTAAGCAATACAAACCATGTATAGAAGATGCAGTAAGGGCTCCCTGAAACCTTGTACATGTCCCTTGCCTGCTGCCACCTTCACCAGATGGCTTAAAACCAAAAACTATAGCTCAGAGCAGCAGTTTGCAGCAGCAGCAACAAGAGGTACAGGCAGCTCTCTCACCCACATGTGAGAATTCATCCTTTGCCTACACCCTCTACAGCCTTGCAGTAGCTGTAGACAAGCTGCAGCTCAGCCCTACACAGGGCCCACCAGAGCAAAGCAGGGAGTTACACAGCCAGGAAGATGATGGGAAGAGGATGGGGAAGTGAAGCTCTTTCTGGGTAGCAGTTGAAAGCCAGCATGTAAGACCCCATTGAATCTTGCTGGAAAGATGAGGCAGGGCTTGCACACAGCTTCTGTCTGCACAGCAACAGCTTCCTCTAAAGCAGAGGTGTTTTGTGGTGGCTCAGAAGCCACCTTTGTCAGCACAAGAGGAAGTGGCTGGAGGAGAGAGGTGACACATCAGCCACACTCTGTCTGCATGGCAGCATGTCCTTTTGCTTATCTCTTACAGCGGCTACATTTTTTCCTCTTGCGGCCTCAGCTGCTGAACTGCCCTATGATTGATAAATGGTCATTTGTAGGACATCTCAGCAGCAGAGCTAGGTTTCTCTCAGTGTGATTTGGGACTTACATGCACATGTTTCACTCCCAGTACCGTATTTCAGTAGGATGGGTACGTAGAGGAACTCCATTCCACCTGTGGCAGGTCCTGACTTTAACCATGCCCTAGGATAGCAACTCCGTTGGGTAACAGCTCTCACACTTCTCCCATACCTTTCCTTAGAAAATGCCATTTTAATCCCTGGTCCTCAGGTCTGGGAGTCTCCAACTACACAGATTCTCCTCAGAAAGTCATGGAGAGCCTGCAGCCCTGTTTGACCTGGGCCCAGCAAGAGATCCCGGCAGAGCAGCACAGCCAAACCCCGCTCTACCTGGGAGCAACTGCCAGCACAAGGCCGCTGAAGTGAGTGAACATTGCAAACCCTCAGCCATCAACACATGCCATGGGATCAGTCTGTGGCTGCATCTCTGCCTGCCTGCTCTGCAGTGCTCCATCCCTGGCCTGGTAGCCAGGTAAACCTTCCCCAGGTCCTGATGTACTCAAGGGGACTGTGGCTGTGTGTCCCCAGTGTTCCCCCAGGCAGCCATGAGGATGACAGTCTTGCTATTGCTACCAGTCTGTGTTGTGTCCTTCACAGTTGTGCTTGGGAAAACACCCATCAGTCTGGAAGTTGAAGTTTATGTGACAGCCCACCTGGGCTTGCAGGGGTGCTTCTTGTCAGCAGGCTGGGAATGGTGGTGGGGAGATCCACCTCATCATACACACTTTTGTGTTGTTCTCAGTTATCTCATTACTGGGACTTTTATCTCCTTTAGACACTGGGGAAAAGTAAAGCCTGGAGGGGACCTGGTCAGTGGAGCAAGGCCACAGGACTCCCTCAGTGGCACAGGGTACATTCTTGAATGTGGCACAATTGCTCAAATCATCCCTCTGCTATTCTCGCCCTTAGTGCCATGTGAAGGGAGAGGGAAGTAGCAGCAGGAGTGGGACTGTCATTTTGTCTTTGTCCTACTACCCAAAGCAGGAGCACAGCAAAAGCCCTGCAGCTATGCCTCCACCGCAGGTTGCTCCTGCAGGGTCCTGCAACAACAAATGTGCCTTCTTTTTCTTTTCTCTTTAGCCTCACCCATCCCATCCTCTCTGATGGTCTCCTTGCAGCCCTGAAGTCATCTCCTTTCAAGTTTCAGGGGGCACAAATCCTGTCCAGTCCAGAAAAGGAAGCATTCAATTGGGTTGCTGTTAACTATGTCCTGGAGAACTTCTTCAAGGTAAAGGACAATCCTGCCTGGGGAGTAGAGCAACTCCCATTAGCAAACAGCCATACAGACATGTATGTATGTTGAAATCCTGTAGCTTAAACAATGCTTAAGCACAACTTGCACTGCCTTTCAGAGAAGGCAGGTTATATCCAGCACCAGCTGGTTGGGGGACAGAGTATGAGATGGTTATAACTAGGATGAAGGACTAAAGGTCTAATATAGCTTGTCATGGACATTCAGTTGCCCTAACAGATGTGAGACTTCCTGGACAACACATCCCATGCTTGCATAACCTGGCCCTGAGGTGTCAGTAACAACTCCACTGCTCCAAGTCCCTGCAGCTCTAGCTGAGCACCACAGTCAAACAGACATTGCTGCTGTTTGTGGCATTGCCCCTGGAGACCAGCAGTCCCACAGGATATCCTCTGGATGGTGGACAGAGAACCAGTCTTTTACTGCCAAAGCAGAAGCCTCTTATGGAGATGCCAGTGAGAGTAAATCTGAGTGTCCCCACCACAGGGGCCTGGTCAGTATTCAGAAGGCTCTTGCTAAACAGAAAGAATACACAGGAGTTTCCTTACTGTCCCCTCAAGCCAAAGCCTTTGAGTTCTTCTTATGAACTCAAAGGGCAGGAGAAAGGCAAGTTAAGCCAAGTGATTCCACATCAGCAAAGTGAAAGGCAGTTCTGATTACCAGCAGCAAGCATGCACTGGTTAGGGAATTGCTAGCAAATTCCAGCACAGCCTCCCCCAGCCAGGGCAGAGCATTTCCACCCATGTAAACCTGCCTGCCTGCACTGCTAACTTCAGCATCCCCAAAATCAGTTCTGCAAGACTGCAGCAGATGAAACATCAGGGCTCATCTGACAGCTGGGTCACTTCAGCACCAAGGCAGCAATTGAAGCCCATACCTTCCCACTTGGAAACCTCCTTTCCACCACCCTCTCCCCTGCTCCTACCTGCCAAGACCACTGCTTGCTGAGCCCTGTTTGCTCTCGCTGGCTGTGGGGAGCTCTCAGTGCAGATGGCAGAGCTTGTTCAATGGCTCCTCTGTTCCCTGCCAAGCCACCACTTCAGCATCCTTATATCCTGTGGGCAAAACAAGAAGTTGGGCTGTACTGCACCAAAGAGCTTTCTCTCTCTGTGCACTAATGCTTGCACTTGACTGTGACCACATGCAGAAGTCTTAAGAACTGACCTCTCTGGTTCCTTTTGGGTCAGTACGACTGGCGAGGACAGTTGGTCCCCTCCGGGAAGGGGATGGCAGGAGTCCTGTTGGTGGGAGGAACCTCAGCACTGCTCACTGCCAACGTGGAAGAGGAGAATCAGGCACCTACAGAGGAGGTGAAGCTGCAGCTGTATGGTCAGACACACAGAGTGTACACTCATCACTGCCCCTGCCATGGCACAGCCCAGCTCCGCAGCAGGCTACTCGCACTGCTCATTCAAGTGAGTATCAACAGAGGGTGTTTGTAGGGTTCCTGACTACAACAGTACTAAATAAAAGCTGCACAAGGTGTAGCTTCTAACAGGTAAAATGTCAATCACTGTCTTTAACACAGGGCATTTGCATATACTTTAAAAAAGCCCAGTGCACTGGTAGAACATACTCCCTATGCCTGAATCAATGCCCTCCAAGCAGCCACACAGGCACCCATTCAGAGGTTTCCTACTTGCAGGCTGTTTGGCTTCTTTCTTAATACACATGAGCACAAAACTGTTCTCCAGAGGTGCTAAGATCACCTTCAGGGTGAAGAACAGCAGCACCCAGGAACCAGCAGGGACCTTCCATCTGGGGTATTTCCTTTGCTGATTTAAACCCTGAAGCATCTTTAAAAGAGCACTATTTCATCTGGAAAACATACAGGTCCTTTGGTTCTTCCAAACTTTATTATACTTGGCAGGAGGCAGGATCTGATGCAAAGTCAGGAATCACTTTAGTCTCCACCAAACCTGATTTTTTTTTGGTCAGAAATAAACTACTTGCTGCCCATCCACTTGCCCCCCTCTAAACCACACCTCTTATATGAGACCTGAATGTCCTACATAGAGACCCACTTCACCACAGTTATATTGGGAATTCCTAGAGATCCCAGACTGGTTTGTGTTGGAAGGGACCTTAAAGCTCATCCAGCTCCAACCCCTGCCAAGGTCAGGGACACCTTCCACTAGAGCAGCTTGCTCCAAGCCCCTGTGTCCAACCTGGCCTTGAGCACTGCCAGGGATGGGGCAGCCACAGCTTCTCTGGGCACCCTGTGCCAGCGCCTCAGCACCCTCACAGGGAAGAGCTTCTGCCTAAGAGCTCATCTCAGTCTCCCCTTGGGCAGGTTCAAGCCATTCCCCTTATTTCCTGATAAGAAACACTGGTTCCTGAGGGGTTGAGCCATCTGGATGTCAAACCTGAACAGCCTCTTTCTAGCAACTAGAAAGAGTACAGGATCGATTGAAACTATTTCTGGTTTAAGGGAGAGCAGGTAGCACTGGGACTCAGCCTCCCATAGCAGGCCCAGTCATTGCAGCTTGCCCTGGACCCTGTGGGAGCTGGGGGACTGCTGCATTGGTCTGGGACTTCCAGTTGAGTGCCTGAGACAAGGTTTGCAAGCCTTTGCAGCCTGTTTGCTCTTTACAATACCCTGGTGTCAGAGGAAAACCATTCTTAACTCTGTCCCATTTTGTCTTCCTCTGTGACGGTTTGGGAAGCCAGCCCATTCTCTTGCTGCCTCTGTCCTTGTTTTATTCTGCCTCTAGGATCAGAGAGGGGCTAAAACTGTGTCTAATCCTTGCTGGCCCATCTCCTACTCCCGGGAAGTGCAGTGGCAATCGGTGCATGCTGGGCCTTGTGCTGTCAGTGAGGACACATCAGACATCTCTGGCCCTGAGGTTTTCAATATCACCGGCTCCAGCAATCCCACCACGTGCATGAGACTCATGCAGAACCTGCTCAACTCTTCCTCTTCCTGCAGCTTCTTCGAGCATTCCCTCAGAGGAGCCTTCAAGCCTCTCCGGACCCGGTTTCTGGTGAGTTGTCATCTACACTGGGGTAGGCAACTGGTGTGGAGAACCCATGCCATGGGACCAGTTTGATCATTAAGAAGTACAGTGGGAGTAGCCACACTGTGCCCTCTGCTTTGGGTAATGCTGTACATGTGCTCTCCTGCCCTCTCCTCCTCATTGACACATAGCTGGTCAAATATGGACCACAGGCTTCCCACCAGTGACTGTGGCAGGGCTTTGCTCATCCATGTCTCAGCAATGCTTGCTGCGAGACAAATGCTGGGGCTCCACAGAGCCAGCAGCAATGGAACAGCCAAGAGTCTCCTGCTGAGCAGGTCTGCTCACATGAAGTCTGTGGTGAAGCCAAAGATCTTCTGCCACTTCCTCAGCAAACATCTGGGCACGTTCCACCACAAGCATCCTTGTATCTGAGACCCTGGATCTAGTGTCCAAAGTCATTGGGTTGTTAAGTCAGGACCAGCTCAAGATCCCAGGACAAACTGAGTGCATTTCAAGGGAGGAATTACAAACATTTCTTCAGCTCCCTGCTCCTGAGAGCTTCCCATGGACACAGTGCCAAGGAGCATAATGACTAGTCTACTTATCCAGGCAGGGCACACAAGCTAGAAACAGTCCTGTGTCTATCTCCAGAAAGCAACAGATCTGCTTGTCCTCCTTGCATACATCAGAAACACCATAACCACCAATACAAGCACATGGAGAGGGCACCCTGGCCACACACCCCACAGCTACTGCCACTTTCTTTCCTATAGGCACTGTATGTGATGTGAGGATGCAGAATGCAGCGTGACCTGATGATTATTTCTGTTGCAGGTGATTTCTGAGGCCATGGACTTCATGAGAGAAACCATGCCCTCTCCTGACTTGGGTCAGGCAGTCAACAGGCTTTGTGGGATGTCCATCAAAGAGGTAACTGGAATAACTCAGTGTGCAAGGAGAGTGCAAAGCAAGGAACAGGCTTTTGTAAAACCCCATAGGGCTCACACTGACAGAGCTTAATTGACTGGCTCCCTCAAGGAAAAACCTGGATTTTTCTGTTTGCTGGTTTATACCCACTTTGAGGAAACAGGCTCCTCTTATTTTATTTCAAATCCCACCTGCTGGCAATGCCTGGACTGAGTTAAATGAAAAGCCACAAGTAGCTTTTGCTGCATATTAAGGAGTAAACAGGAAGGCTGTTTACTCACTCCTGCACATCACCCTTCTCTCCTTAAGCACAAGGAACACTCACTCAAATGCCAGCAGCTTTCCCATTTCACCTAGGTCCATGCAGGCCAAGCCAGGGAGAAGTTGCAAGTTCTCTCCCTCAGTTTATGGCTTAGAGGTCACACTCATTTGTGCCTACACTGACCAGCATCCACAGTAACATTCAAACTGGACAGTTTGCTAATGGGGTAGCAAAGCAGTTTCTTAGAGCTTTCTCTTCTGGACAGAAGAAACAGATCTTGTTCATGTTCCTGTTGAGAGAAAGGCTACAGCATAGCTCAACCTAATTAGAGAGTAGATGATCATACCAAGCAGCACACCTGCAGACCTGCCTGCCAGCCCTGCTGCTCTTGAACTGCATGGGCTTTAATAAGATGGGAACAAAGGCACACAGAGATGACACCAGTTCCCAGACCGCATTCCAGGAGGTGCAGGAAACATGGTTTCAGTCTGCACAGGACACAAAGCCTTCCTGCAGTCCCACAGGTGATCCCAGAGCAGGAAAGGAGAGGTTACAGCAGGGCTGAAATTCTGGTACTGAGTATTTGCTTTATTTTTTTCCTCATCTTCTTTTGGAAATGATACCAGCTGGTGAAGGAGTCCCAGACAAGCCTGGATACACTTGCAGATTACTGCCTTGTGTCTGCCTTCATCTTTCACCTCAGTACAAAGGGATACACCTTTGACTTCAACGGGTCTGTTTGGACTTCATTCCAGAAGAAGGTCAGTTACCTTCAGCGTGGTACTTCCAGTTACAAGGGAGGGGTGATTTCAGCAAAGCCGACCAGTCCCCATTCCTCCAAGTCCAAACCAGCCAGGTTTCTCCAGCAAGATGCTTTTGCAAAATAAATTCATAACTGTGATAAGCAAGAAAGACAGTGACAGAGAGCTAGAGATTGCACTGTCCTCTCTGAAAAACAGATGGGTCAAAACCTTACCTGGAGCAATATCATCTTTAGAGCCTGTATCCAACAGGCAAGCATGGCTCGAGTGACACTTTATGCTAAGGATAAGCTGCTGATAATATTTCCTGAGCCAAAAGATGTTGCCCTACCTCTTTACAATCACCTTTATAGCAGTGAGGCTTTATAACTGGCTTACAAGGTATGGAATTGCTTCAGGATCTGGAGCCTCTAAGGAAAGGAGGATTGGATTCAGGTCCTCCCCTTCACAAATGAAAAGAAAGCCTATTCCCTGTCACAACTCACCAACAAAGCACACTCCCAGTGAGCAGGGCTGCGGCAGTGACAGCAGTTCAGTCAGCCATGTGGCAATCGTCATGCTAAGGCAAGGTAAGGAGGTAGGATGAGGGCACATCCAGGGAACCCAGTCTGGGAAGCCTGTAACACAGGTCTGAGGTGCAACCAGGCAACAGGGCCAGAGACAGAACCAAAGACTTGAGATCCACCTGGGAAAACCAGATAGAAAGAAGAAAAGGAACAGCACACACCTACAGCCTAGCTCAGGAAAGAAGAGGCTGCCCAGGCCAGAGCTTAAATGGAGCTCCCAGGCCCATGGGCAGAGGCAGGGGGGCAGAAGTGTCAGGTGAGGCTGGTTGGGGCAATGAAGGCCTATTAGTTAACTCAGGGCACCGGGAGTGTGATTGCTCCTCATTTCAAACCTAATCCTTGGATCAATCTCAAATAAAGTATATGAGGCCTTAGGCCTGTGCACAGAAATACAGCTGAGGTCCAGAGTGTCTCCTCTTCTCACCTCTCCTCCTTTTTCTTTCAATAGATGGGTGATAGATCCTCTGGCTGGAGTCTGGGATACCTGCTGAGTCTGACCAACACCATCCCCCAGGACAGCCCGAGCTCTCTCAAGGGGATTGAGCCAGGGGTCTGGTCTTTGCTCCTCATCCTCTTTGTCGTGCTGCTCACTGGCTCTTTCATGCGCATATCATACCGAGTGATGGTGAAGGAGAACAGCTTCAGTAACAGGAACAGCAGTGTCTTTGATGACATCTGACCATTACTCTGGGACTCGATACTTCTGCCAGAGGGCAGTTCATAGGGGTATACAGAAATCACACCACTCTAAGTCACTGGAGGATGCAAGTGATTTTCCTGCAGGACTCTCAGAGCCCCAGTGCCTTACTTCAACTTGCTAGCACTTGCACTGCCATACTTTGAGACAATGGATCCTGCTCTACAGGAAGCCTGTGATTCCTGGTGGATGGCAAGCTATTCCTATCCAAATGAGGTAGCCTGCACTGATCTTGCTTGGGCTGCAACTGGGATTACTCATGTCAATGTAATGGAATTATGCCTCTGGGCAGGCAGGCCCTGAGCTAATACAGACTTAATACTGAATAACACTGTCAAATCAGGAGAGGACGTGTCTGAAGAAAGTGCTGTGTCCTCTTCTGTGGCAAGAGAGACACCGCCTGCAGTATTGCCACCAGCAAAGACTGGAACAGCGTTAAATACAGTCGGAACACGACAAGCAACTTGCTCCCACCCCACATTCTAGAGAAAAAGCAGGGGTTTTCTGCCTGCCCCTACTGTTGTTCTATCTCAGTGATGGCATCTATGTGGCCCTTCAAGAACTCTCCAAAAGCAAAGCTTTTTACACTTGGCCTCTACAAAATGCACAGAGCATCGAAGGAAAAGCAAAGGGCAGCTGAGTTCCAGTCTCTTGGCTGAGTCGTGGCAACTCAGGGTTAACACTGTAGATTTAAAATCTTTAACCAGGACTTGGAATTAGATGATCTTTAAGGCCCCTTCCAACCCAAACCATTCTATGACTTGAATTAACACATTTAATTTCACATCTGCTAAAATAAGGTGCATGGGGGGCTGCGGATCACCAGTCTGGTCATTTGCACTGAACTGCTTGACTCTGAAAGGGCAGTAGCTCATCTAACACTGTCCCTCAGACAGGAGCAGACCCAAGAAAAGCTTTCCTAATTGACTTTCATATTAGTCTGTGACTAGATATACTTTATAATCCAACAGTCCAGTTTCCTCTGGGCATTGGCAGTCATTCCAAGATGCCCTGCTTGTCTAAGAGCTGAGGCACTGTACAGATTGTGTTATTGTGAAGAAAGGGATCAATTCAGACAAACACTGCCCTTTGACTAAAGCACTCAGAGTTCACCTCTCTGCTTCAAAGCAACAAACATGCTGCTAAAAGCCCAAAGGACAAGTGTCTCCAGCTCATTTCAGACCACTTGAAAGAGAAATTTAAATGCTCGCAGATATAATGATGTGCCTTGCAGGATTTTTAAAGCTACCATGGAACCCAAATCCTTTCAAATCTGATTATTTATTCCTTGTGCTCCCAACTCATATACATGGACACCCCCATAATGTTGGGGCATTCATAAATTTTCAGGCCATTAATGAAGGTTTGGAACCTGTCAGTCAAGTTTGGAGGGGTGTGGAAAGAGATTTAAATTAACTTCATATTCATTTCTTGGAGTTGCACATTAGATATTTTTAATTATATCATGGTATTAAAGACGTTTTAATAGACTGTCTATGTTATTCTTGGCAAGAGATCACAGGGGGGCGGTTTATTGTGCATAAGCATGTCCCAGTGAGGAGGATGGGGGGTGCTGGGTTTGCCTCTGTTTACTCCAGAGCTGTTTTGCTGCGTACTTTCAGGGTACACAATGAGATACCCTGAAGGCACTTTCTCCCCAGTGGAAGGCAGACAGAAAATGACTTCAGATAACCTGGCTGCTGGTATTCAGTTGATGAAAGACATGTCTACATCTTTGATGTGTTTTTTGCTCCAACCATCTGAAGAAGGTAGGAGGGACTCAGGCAAGCCTGCATAGGAGAACAAAAGAGGTTATCAGGGAATCAGTGGTATCAGGAAAATTCCTGAGACTTCATTTGTCCCGCATCTGGAAATGCAATTCTTAACAGAGCTCTGGCTTTGTGACCTGTCAGCACTGTGGGATTCCTGGTGGAGATTTGCAACTTGTCCAAGAAGAATCCTACCACTGTCAGGAATGGAAATAAGCCAGTGAGATGCCAGGAACCACAGGACTGGGTGTTCTGGCCTGCTCAGTCATTACAACTTCTTGACTTTGAATACTATATCACAGGCTCCAAGAGAAAAGGACACTGGCTGCAACTTCCCCAAGCCCTTGTTTAGAAGCTTTGGGACTTCCATGTAGATAATAAGTGAGCAATTAGACAAGAAGCTCAGCATGTCCTCCAACACTTTAGTTTGCCTGTACTGAGCCCTGTCCTGAGCTCTACGGAGCAATGGCCCGTACAGATGCCTAACTGAACCCATTAAATCCATGACACTTGAGGCACCATTTGACACTGAGTGCACTGCAGTGCAAAGACAACCCACAACCACTTGATTTCAAGCAGATCTTAAACTCTTGACCTAAAAGCTGTTGTTCTCACCAAAGGCACAGTGAGATGTTTCAATGGCTGAAGTTCCTCCTTCGGTTGTTCACAAACTGCAGGTGGCAGCTCCGCTCTCTCCTTTCCCACCTCTCCTTCCAGATACCACCACTACTGCCTCCTCCAGCAGGCAGGTCGTAGGGACAGGCAGGGCAGGAGTTCTCATGTAATGACTGTGCTGCCCACCTCGAGCTGCAGCCCCCAGCATAAGGGCTCCCAGTGCACTGGGCTTGGGCTGGGCAGTCTTGATGGTGCTTATCTTTCTCTTCCTATCTGGCAGAAGAAAACCCACTTACAGATGTGTTCAGCAGACTATGAGCTAGATTGGTATTTTTAAATCACTGAAGTGTGTTTTTAGTCATAAAAAGGCAAAATATAACCCAAGCTTGGGAACCCTTGAGAAGAATGGAAACTAATAAAAGATACTCCTTTCTCCCAGCTCTCTATGGAAGCAGCTTCTTCATGTTAGTACTATGTAACTTTGCAGAATTAACCCCCAGATTACCTGGACAGAGAAGATCTACTTAAAATGAGATTCTAGATTAACTCACTGACTTTGAAACGAAGATGCTTGAGCCCTTTGGTAACAATGCAATTGTGGCAATGCTTATTAATGAGGATTTTCTGTCTGTCCACAAATTCTTTATGTTTATGCATAACTGCCTCGCTTCCCCCTCAGGCTGAACCATTGGAGAGCTCTTCTGGCAGATAATGTTTGCTCATGTGTAATTGCAGATCTCCTGCTGTTGGCAAGTACCAATAAAGAAGGAATCAAAAGCATTAGATAGAAAAATTGACACCAGAAAAGCCCTTTGACTATTTTAGCTCCAGAAACACACTAGGTTATGTGACCTGCTGCTGGCTACAGCAGCCTACATTTCATTTAGGCATGTTTGGAGTATATTAGCTCCTGTCTTTCTTCCAGCTTGTACCATTTCCAAAGCATCATGTATTCCCAACAGTACATCCCCTGGGTTGTTTCAACGAATTATCATGAAAGCTGAGAGAAATAATGGTTTATTGCCTGCAGTCCTGTTCTGCAGTACAGAATTCACCACTTTGCTTTTTGAGTATAGGTATTTCACAGGATGCTTACAGATGGATTAGTTCACCAGGATTTCACAGGGCTGGAATCTCTACCCAGTGCTGTCACAGACCTCCTGGCTTATCTTGGTGAGTGATGAGAAGGTCATTCACACGTCAAGGACCTTCCAAAACTTGCCACACAGCTGAGCTCCAGCTTTCCATTAGTAACGCAGTGACTGTAACTCTTTCCTTGAGATGTGGAGATATCCAGTTCAGTAGTTAAGGGAAGGCCTCTGGAATAGCAAGGGTAGAAATGATGTACAGCACCAGGCACTGCACTCAGTTTAGTTAGAACAATAATGAAACAACCACTGGTGGAGCAAATCCAGCAGAATAGGAAAGGAATGGAATCATAGAATCATTTAGGTCGGAAAAGACCTCGGAAAAGATCATCAGGTCTAACCATAGAACACCTTTTGGCATGGCTGGATTAGAGACTGATCAGAACATTTCATTTTTGTTGCTATACCATAACTATGATCATGTATCTGGATATATTCCAGAGAAGTAGGAAGCCATATGATGTTTATATGCTACCTCATGGACTGTCACTCCTACTTCAAGAGCTAATTCAGAACACACCAAAGCAGATGGAAATGCTATCAGAACAAGCCCAGATGAATACTGGGGTCAGTAAAACCCCAATTTTGCCACATATCTTCTAATGTAAAAGTCCTTTCATAAGGGTGGTGAGGTGCTGACAAGGGCCTGTAGGTACAGGACAAGGGGGAATGGCTTGAACCTGCCTGAGGGGAGACTGAGCTGAGCTCTTAGGCAGAAGCTCTTCCCTGTGAGGGTGCTGAGGCGCTGGCACAGGGTGCCCAGAGAAGCTGTGGCTGCCCCATCCCTGGCAGTGTTCAAGGCCAGGTTGGACACAGGGGCTTGGAGCAAGCTGCTCTAGTGGAAAGTGGCCCTGCCCATGGCAGGGGTTGATACTGGATGAGCTTTAAAGTCCCAACCCAAACCAGGCTGGGATTCTGTGATAATCCATCAAAGCCAGGCAAGTTAAAGTTTTGCAAAGTGGAAACTCGGCAGAAGTGTCTTTGACCTGATTTTCACCATGCTGTCGGTACGAGAGAGTCAGAGCCTCGCTGCAGTAGATGCTTTTAGATCCCTGATCAAGTGAGATCAACACAGAACGTTTGAGCCGTTGCTCCCCTGAGCGTGTAATGACAGGGACTAGTCACAAGAGGGAGAATGACAGAACAGCGCTTTAAGCCTCAGGAAATCTCCAACGCAGCGAGTACCTGGTCCCACCACAAATGAAATCAATGAGCACAGGCTTGTCTGGAGATTTGTCAAGGAGACTTCTGATGCGGACACAGATGAAAGACACATTGTAGCATGGAAGCTGTCTACGTGTAGTATGTGAGAGCAGCACTAATCAGTGATTTAAGAAGCCACATCATTAGTGGAAGGCAGCCTCTGTGCAGGGAGGTGGGCACTAGCATGGAGTGTGGATGAAAACTTTTCTGGATGCAAGAGGGAGAAAGAATAATCCCCAAAAGAGAGAGGACTGTGCTGGGAATGAAGAAGAGGGGGGTTGAGACAGAAAGGAATGATAAAATCGACTCTTGTGTGAAGGAAAGCTTATTTTTTCTCACAGCAGGGGGGTGTCACCATATGTGCACCTCACGATGGAATTAGTCACCACTTCCTGATGGAAATTCTCCAGAGGAATAGATCTCCGAGTGAAAGAAGGTGCTGCCTCCAGGGCTCATCACTGGCCACAGCCACAGCCACAGAGCTGTGGGACTGAGTGAAGGAAACTATGGGAACAGTGTTCAAAGTTCACTGGATTTAATCATAAAAGATTAATGCTGACCCTTATGTCAAGTGCAAGCTGGTTTAGTATTACCTCCTGTTCCATGGTAATCACTGACAGTGGTTAAGACTCTCTTGAGTGCAAGCTTTGAAATGACAGACTCATGGCCACCTTCTGACCTGAGGAGCTCAGTGGAAACCATCAAACCAAATGGAAGGAGCTCTTCTTCCACACAGGGTGTGGTTAAACCATGGGCCTCATCGTGACAGGAGGTTGTTTATGCCAACAGTTTACATGGCTGTAATAGGTGATCAGATAAATTCATAATAATCCTTTGGGGGTATTAAACAAAAGTTACTTCCTTGTGGCTAAAGAATTACCTGAACAACCTGCCACATCCATACGTGTTTGCACTGTTCTTTGGCAACTGCTGCTGATCGCTGGAGACAAGACTGGCCCAGAGACACTTGTGGCTAATTCCCCTTCAGCTGCTTCTACTTCTCTCAAGCAGGAATCCACCCACTGCACCTCTCACCCGTCACTCTCTGGAAGCAGTCCCTCACCTTCAATAACCTCGCTCTTTTGAGAGCAATAGTTTCTAGAAATGAAGTATTATTTATCCCTAGAAGTAGCAATAAGAAAGACTGGAATGACAAAAGGTCTGCACTTACCCAGGTCATACTTAAGTGTTGTCATAAACCTGGGACGACCCAACACCATTATCTCTTCCATTCTGGAGGCAGGCTTCTACTCACATTCACTCTGCAGTGTCCCTCTCAAACTCAGGGCTTCAGATTTTACCTGTATAAACAAGTACTAGGCTGAGCTTAGACCAGGATGCTAATTCAGAGGCACAGACTGCTATTGTGCTGGGTAAGCATCAAGAGAAGGATCATAGCCATTGTCTGTTTGCCTGCTGAGAGGAGGGTTCCTCTCTGTATGCTCCATGCAATGGTTCAGTAAAAGGAGAATGCAATACTCAAAAGTATGTCCCCACTATGTTCAAAACAACCATATTTGCAGTAAAATCTGTTTCCATGCTGACAGCAGTAAAGAGTTAAAAAAATCAACAAAACAATAATAGTTAAAAAAATAATATATAGCTCAACAAAACAGAAATGCAATTTCCAGCTTAATTTTATCTCCACTACCATGCCTTTTGCTGGATTATACTCAGGAACTTTGGCCCTGTAATACTCATCCCTAACATTTTCTAGTATCCCAGCCATTAACTGATACAGTGAACTGCCAGCTGGGAAATTCAGATGCACCTGAATGAGGTAAAACCTCGTTGCACTTGCAGCAGGGTTCGAGGAGAGCTCTCAAGGAATCAAATACGAGCTAAAAGCAATGAAAACACGATGTGGGAGCCACATACCTCCCCATATGGGTAGGATTCTTCTCTCCTCTGCTACCCCAACTGCTTTCCAACCATAGCTGGCAATCTGCAGCAGTGCCTCTAAAACCAAAGAGAAACAGGAATGCACTTTAGTATTGAGCTCAGGCAGGACCATTGAATGCTCTTTTTGATCCCCAAATTTGCCCAGTTGTCAATGTTTCACACAGAGCTTTGCCTCTGAAGGAATGCTTCATGTGAGACAAGGTCCTGGCAGAAACCTGCCTCGTTACTCCCTAGCTCACCTACGGCTACACACTAATCCGGTTGCTTGGTTGCCACAGCATTAGAAGTCACAGGGTGAGACAGTCAGAGCTCCAGCAGCTCTCCATGGAGATTCCTGGCAGCTTGGCTGTGTTCCTCCTCACAGAGAGCTCAGAACTGGCATTTCACTTCCATTTTAAAAAACGCAAAAGTATTTAAAATAATCATTTCCTGTGGATCTGCATGTAGCCAAGAACACAAGTACTCACTGACTGGCATGGAATTAGCAAAACGAAATGTTGCACAAATAATGTGAAATGCCTCCTAACCCCTTGGTCTGCAGGTGCTGCATCTCCCAGGGAAACCTCTGGAGGCTGGACCACAGGAGCAAAGTTTGAGGGTACATCCCCTGCTCTGCTGGCTCTGATCCTGCCACCCTTTTGGAGATAGATACTGGAAGTCTTTCCACTCTTTTGCTGCCACTGGGAACGCTGGGGGTGGCAACCATTTCTCACTACACATTACAGAGCAGCTGCCCTAACATTAAAAGCAGAGCAGGCTGAAGCACAAGCAGTGAGAAGCACTGGCTATAAAGGAAGGAATTAAGGAAGCAGATCCTTGTCACTGATGCACAGCTGTGTGCTTGCTGGCCCTGGCTGAAAAAGCAACAAACCACAACTGTACCTGCATTAACTGCAGCAGCACTTGTACCAGCAAACCTCCAGCCACCCCTGCAGTGGCTCTCCCTGCTCCATTCTGGTTTTCCATGAGCACAGGAGCTGCCTAATGCTGTTTTGAGTATGTCTTGATGAGAATTTTTGCTGAGTGTGCTTTCCTAGACAGCAAAACACAAACGATGTTCCAGTCTCTTTGTAATCGGGAATAAGCCAGAATTCCTTTTGAATGTTACTCTGAAGCGATGGCATTGCATCCTGGAGGAAAAGCTGTCTTTACTGAATGATTACAGCCTTGTATGAAATCTTCAGCAAGTCTGATCCAGATTCATCCTGGCTGCCTTTGATACCTCAGAGATACTGAGATTTTGGATTCGGGCACTTTAAACACCTTTACAGAGAGCAGAAAGGTGTTGTTAGAGTGCTATGCAGAGCTGGAATGGGCAGAGCCACCCCTTTCCACTGACTCTTGGTATGAGCACAGCCCCGAGTTAGCTTTTGAAATCAATGTCTATAATTAGGTGGGATAAATCTGGACCCTAAAGCCTGTGCATTACTCAGCTATCTCAAACCGAACTGCATAAACCTCCTGCATTCTGGCTTCCAGTGTGGGGGATGAGCCATGTACGTGTCTGCCCAGGGTCCTCTCAGGTCACTCCTGATGCTCTGGGGCTCCTCCCAGGGTCTCGGGGGCTGCTCCAAGTGCTCCTGGGCTGCTTCCAGCATCTCTGGGGGGAAGATGTTATTTACATGGCAGAAGTAGCAATCACCATAACCTTTGTACTAAGCCAGCTATCTGATCTCCAGCAAGAGCCTTCACAGGGCTATTCCCCTCCTGCCCACCTCACAGAAGCAGTTGGACACTGTTCTCCAAGCACAGACTATGGTGTGTGCACAAGCCTTTACGTACCTCTGTCTGGTAGGAATGACAGAGTGGCAGCCTCATGTGTTCTGTGTAGAGAATCGAGGTCATCTGCTGCTCACGCCTCAGTCCACTCCCACATCAAGGCAACAGACTGAGCCCAGCCAGGCTTGAAGAACTCAATTAGAGGCCACTTTCAAGTTTTAGGTGCGTTATGGAACAAGAAGAAGTGCCAGGACTTGCAGACATCACTGTCATCCTAACGAGCACGTATCATCATAAATGGCTCTGCTAAAACAAACACCAAAGTATGCTCCGCAGAAGCTGCTACCAACAGAGGAACTGCCCATGCAAGAATGCGCTAACGAAGGTGGATGGTAGAAGGGGAACAGCGCGGCGAGGGTGGCGTTTATCCAGACTGGGATGCTCGGCTGCCGGGCTGCCATAGGAGCACCCGCTCAGGACTGAGGTGTCACCTCACGGGGCACCGCGCTGCTCAGCACCGGCCCGAGAGCAGGCTCCCTGCCCGACACTCCCCGCCTCACAGCGGCGCGGTTGCCATAACAACAACTGCCGGCCCCCGCCGCCTCAGGCGGCTGCGCGCCAGAAAGTGCTAGAAAGGCGCCGCAGCCCGCGCATGCGCAGGCGCGTATACTCCCCCCCCCCCTCACCGGGCGCCGCTGCAGCGCTCCTGGGGTAACGGAGGGCGGCGGGAACGGGGGGGATGGGTTGGAAGGGGGGGCTCTCCCGGAGGAGCGGCGGTGGAGGGAGGCAGCGGCGTGCCCGGGAGCCGCTGGGGAACGACGGGTTGAGGTTTCCCTGGAAACCGTCCTCTCCCGCAGAAAGGAGGAGCTGCCGCCTACGCTGCGCAAAGTGCGCACCCGGCTTCGGGAATGGGCGGCTGCGCGAGCCACCGCCCAGCGCCCGCTGCGGAGTCATTGCGACGGTTACTAGGACACTTCGTGCTCAGCCAATCGGCTGACGTTAGCTCATCCCGGGGGCCGGCAGCCAATCACGTTCGACATCAATCATTCAATTAAGCCAATCGGGAGCGTCTCGAGCGAGTAGGGCGGGCACTGGCGAGCCCCGGTTGCCTAACAGTAAAATCAACAGACAGCTGGGCGGGGCTAATAGGAGCGGATGGCTTGAATGACAATCTTTTTGGCCAATAGAAACTCCTCTTTCGCAGAGCCTCGTTATAAGTAGCCAATAGCCACTGCAACTGGCCTCCTGGGCGGGGAGAGGAAGGCTGCGCGCGCATTCCGCTGCTATATAAGGGTTGGCGGTTTACCTCACGCAGCCAGAGTCGGTTGAGAGAAGGGTGTTTTTAGGTGGAAGTGACCGGTGTCGCCGCCATCATGAGGGAGATCGTGCACCTGCAGGCCGGGCAGTGCGGGAACCAGATCGGAGCCAAGGTCCGGGCGGTGGGCAGGGGGCGGCGGCGGGAGGTGGGGGACAGATGGGCGGCGTGGGACGCGCCCGGCCCGGCCGCCCCTGACGCGGTTTTCCCTGGCAGTTCTGGGAGGTGATCAGCGACGAGCATGGCATCGACCCAACCGGTACCTACCATGGAGACAGCGACCTGCAGCTGGAGCGCATTAATGTCTATTACAACGAGGCCACAGGTAGGGCCTGTCGCGCCTCTCGCCCCTTCCCGATCTGCCCCCGGCGTCGCAGTCACGGCTTCTCCTCGTTTTGCAGGTGGCAAGTACGTGCCCCGCGCCGTGCTGGTGGACCTGGAGCCCGGCACCATGGACTCCGTGCGCTCTGGGCCCTTCGGCCAGATATTCAGGCCAGACAACTTCGTGTTCGGTGAGTGCGCCGGGAGCGGGGGAGGGACCTGTCGTGTAACCGGCTCGGGGTGGGGTGGGGTGGGCAGGGCAGGGACGCTGCACTGCGGGCTTTGCCGCTGCACATGCTCCTGAGGCGAGCGCTGCCCCGGGGAGGGGGTTAATCCTGGCGCTGCGTGACGGGTGCGAAATACCGGCGAGCTGCGGGCGGTGCGGGATGGCAGCTGCGGGGAAGCAGGTCCGAGGAGACGCAAGGGATCGTTGCTCTTCCGACTCTCCTTACCTCCTCCACATTAACAGGAGCGACCAAACGGCTGCTGTGTCATTAGTAATGAATGTTTTCTGTGTATCCGCCGAGCCATTTCAGAGGTGCTTGTGTGAAACCACAGCTCAGTGCTGGCTAAAAGGAAGCTCTGCTGGGGGTGGGGTTCTGTGTAGCCTGATGCGCCCTTGCTTGCAAGCAATAAGCAGGAAGCAGTGACCGTAATCTAATACGAAAATGGCTCTCTTCCAGGTCAGAGCGGCGCAGGAAACAACTGGGCAAAGGGCCATTATACGGAAGGTGCTGAATTAGTTGATTCTGTGTTAGATGTTGTAAGGAAGGAGGCAGAAAGCTGTGATTGTCTCCAGGGCTTTCAGCTTACTCACTCCCTTGGTGGTGGTACGGGCTCAGGTATGGGTACTCTCCTCATCAGCAAAATCCGTGAAGAGTACCCAGACCGAATCATGAATACTTTCAGTGTTGTTCCATCCCCTAAAGTGTCAGATACTGTAGTAGAGCCCTACAATGCCACACTCTCGGTTCACCAGCTTGTGGAGAACACAGATGAAACATACTGTATTGATAATGAAGCTCTCTATGACATATGCTTCAGAACACTGAAGTTAACCACTCCAACCTACGGTGATCTGAACCATTTAGTGTCAGCCACCATGAGCGGTGTTACCACCTGCCTGCGGTTCCCGGGCCAGCTCAATGCTGACCTGCGGAAGCTGGCAGTCAACATGGTTCCCTTCCCCCGTTTGCACTTCTTCATGCCTGGCTTTGCCCCTCTCACCAGCCGTGGGAGCCAACAGTACCGGGCTTTGACCGTGCCAGAGCTAACACAGCAGATGTTTGATGCAAAGAACATGATGGCTGCTTGTGACCCACGGCACGGCCGCTACCTGACCGTGGCTGCTGTGTTTAGAGGCCGTATGTCCATGAAAGAGGTGGATGAGCAAATGCTAAATGTTCAGAACAAAAACAGCAGCTATTTTGTGGAATGGATCCCTAATAACGTTAAAACAGCAGTCTGTGACATTCCACCTCGTGGCCTGAAAATGTCTGCCACCTTCATTGGGAACAGCACAGCCATCCAGGAGCTGTTCAAACGTATTTCTGAGCAGTTCACGGCCATGTTCCGCCGAAAGGCGTTCTTGCACTGGTACACAGGCGAGGGCATGGACGAGATGGAATTCACAGAGGCTGAGAGCAACATGAACGACCTGGTGTCTGAGTATCAGCAGTACCAGGATGCTACAGCTGAGGAGGAGGGGGAGTTTGAGGAGGAGGCTGAGGAAGAGGCTGAGTAACAGCTATGCAGATGAATACCTGTAAATTTTGTTTAAAGCTGTATGAACTCTCATCAAACCTCTGTCTGTGTTGTGTTCCTCTTTATGTCTCAAAAGTCACTTCAACTGCTGTACAGGCACCATTAAAGCATTTTTCACAGTGCACGAGCTCGTTTCTCTTGTTCCTTTTGGTAAGCTTTTCGGGTGCTGTTTCCATAAGTCAGTGCATAGACGTTCCGGAGCTCTGGAAAAGAGAAGCAAAGGACTTGGGGTGAGCCCTCCGTGAGGCAGCCAGGCTTCTTCTGCCTCCCAGCCTGGTGTGGGTGTCACTGGATGTGGTGAACTGGTGTTGCTTTATAATCTGAGTGTGCTGGTGGTGGGGATAACGCCTCCTGAGAGGATGGAATTCAGCTCTGAGCTGCATCTAAATTTAGGTACCTGTGTGTGGATTCCTGTTACAGGCTCAGCGGGAGCTGAGTAGCTCTGTAGTAGATACAGGTTCTGTCTGCCTGACAACACCTTCCCAAGGCAGGCAGGGCTCCAGGAGAAGATGAGCCAGGCTGATGGGCTCAGCAGTGCAAAGCAGGCAGGTAGCCATGACCTGTGCCAGCAGTGCTGTGGACAGCAGTGCCACACCGCACTGCTGAGGAGGAACTGAGCTCCTGTGTGCACAGCTGTGTTTTCAAATCGTATGTGGAGGGTTTAAACCTCCCTAAGTTACTGCAGGCTCTGCTGCTGAGGTGGGCTGAGCACCCGCTAGCACATCAGGGGTGTTTCATGGCACCCCTGTATTAACACCACATTCCTACTGTGGTAGCCATGGTGTCAGCTAAAGCAACTGACCCACCGCTGGGGAGCTGGGCAGGGGAGCAGACTGCTTTCCTGCTGATGAAACCCTGCTCACTGCTCTTAAATTCAGAACTGTTTTGTGCAAAGTTTTTTGTGCCTTGAAAACAATTTCTCCTTCTAGTGCCTGAGCTGCTCAAGAGTCCAAATGGCACCAACGGGAAACAGCCTGTCTGCAGGAATGGGTGGGTGGCTTCAAACCTACCTGGAGAGGGAGCTGCTGTAGGTGTAAAGGTGGCAACGGGTGGTTAAAGCATGAAGACACTAGGGTGGGTGGTCAGAGCCCTCCCCAAGCAGCCCTACGCAGAGGAAACAGCTCCTGGAACAGTCTGGGCTATGCTGAGACGCCCCAGGGCTGCCACACACAGGATGTGTGCTTCCCCACTCTTTGCTTTCATTTCTACCAAGTTTTCAGCTTCTAGCATTTTCCTCCTCTGCACTGCATCAAGTACAAGCTATGAGGTTGATTCTTTCTCCCTTGTCTCCCTGATTTCCCAGCCCACATTACTGAGCTCTGGGCAGAGACAACCAACAAGACAGTTGCTGATTTGTTGATGTTTTAGGTTGATACCTTAACGCTTTCAGGTGCATGATGGGCAGAGCTTCCCCTTCACACACACAAAAATCACTTCAGCCCTCTCTGGTTAGGCGCCACCACTAACTGAGGATCAGGTAGACAGTGCAGGGTAGCCACTGCCCATCTCTATGCCTAATACCATTTCACTGCTATAATTTTGAGCATTCTCATCCCATTTATATAATTTGCATCTTGCTTTTTATCAGACTTTAAGGACATGGAGCTGCTGGAGAGAGTCCAGAGGAGGCCATGGAGCTGCTGTGAGGGCTGGAGCAGTTCTGCTCTGGAGCCAGGCTGAGAGAGCTGGGCTGGGGCAGCCTGGAGAAGAGAAGGCTCCTGAAGGGGAGACCTTAGAGCAGCTCCAGTGCCTAAAGGGGCTGCAGGAAAGCTGGAGAGGGGCTTGTGACAAGGGCCTGTAGGGACAGGCCAAGGGGAATGGCTTGAACCTGCCCGAGGAGAGACTGAGCTGAGCTCTTAGGCAGAAGCTCTTCCCTGTGAGGGTGCTGAGGCGCTGGCACAGGGTGCCCAGAGAAGCTGTGGCTGCCCCATCCCTGGCAGTGCTCAAGGCCAGGTTGGACACAGGGGCTTGGAGCAAGCTGCTCCAGTGGAAGGGGTCCCTGCCCATGGCAGGGGTTGGAGCTGGAGGAACTTTAAGGTCCCTTCAACCCAAACCAGGCTCTACTCTATGAATCACTTTCCTGATGAAGGAAGATGCTGTAACGCACCCGGGTGACGGGCAGGGTGTTACTGAGTCTCCACTGCTTTAGCTGGGGGTTGGTGGCTGGAACCCAGAGGAACATTCTGCACAAGCCTAGGCTGGCAGCCAGGCTGACAGGCTCTCCTGCAGGAAGGGGATGGCACCGCTCCAGCACCTCAGCACAGACCGGGAAATAACCTACTACCCATGTGGAACAGTTGAGTAATTGTTCACTTCTCCAGCACTACAGCTAATAACAGCACTACTTAATGACAGCAATTAGTATCAGTGACTTTCCTTTCACTCAGCTGATAACATTACCTGGTACAAAGCCCATGTAGGAAGGTATCAGTCCAGCACTGGTGTAAATTCTATTGGTAGGCCAGTAAGTCTGGGGATACCTCTTGCCAAAGCTGTAACATGGGTTTCTCAACATAAACTGGGGAGGATAAAAACAACACCAGGGTACAGTTAATTTTAAAACACACCGTTTTTACCAAGTCATGTGCTTTGACTCTGCATTCAATATTGAATGTAAAGGAATTCTCCTTCCAGTTCAGTTTTCTTCTAATTAGGAGCTACACTGCATTCACCTCATCACCTCTGAGCATCACCTGCAAGGCACAACCACCTTGTGCTCCTATATCTGATGTACTGCGAGCCAGTAGTGTCTGCTGGGCTTGGGTACAAGCCTCATCTGCTCCTGTGCTGTAACTCTGCACATCTGGGGGTTGGTTTGACCCCTTCAACTGGTTTTGTTTCTCCATGAGTCCCACTGGTGGCCATCAGCCAGCAGTTCCCTGGCTGGGAGGGACAGGAAGGCTTAGGGAGCGTTAACTGCAGGGAGAGTGTAAATCACCCCCTGGAACTGTCTGACCCCCCCCAGGGTGAGCCCCAGACGAGGGGCTGGAGGGTGGATGTTGCTGCTGTCAGTATTCAGATGTCACTAAAGCTGCGCTGCCCTCCCTGGTGGAGAAGGGATGGGGCTGATTGAGCCGAGCTGTGGGGCCACTGACCCATCCTGTGGTGGTGATGGAGCGGCTGCTGCATCCCTCAAGCACTGCACTGAAGCATGAGGGCTGCACTGTTTTGCCTGATGCAGGCAGTAAGCAGTGATCCATAGCACATCCCAGTATGTAACCTAGGGCAACAGAGATTTAGGGCAGCAGATTAATGGCTTGAAGCCATCTCAGATAGAAATGTGGTGTGATTTGGTTGTTTTCTTTAGTGTACTCCTATTCCTTCAGTGCCTGATGTGCCACAGCTGAGCTCTGCAAGGCTGGATTCTGCTGAATCCTGCAACAGAAACACCTCCCTCACTGATTTATTACATGCAGAATGCTACTTAAGTGATCAGGGGCAGAAAGGCATTGCAAACAGCACATTCAGTTTTGATAATGCCATGGTTTGGGATTGTTTTTCCTTGCTGCTTCATCTCAATTCCTATTAATGGCAGAAGCATAAGGAAGCCAGCACAGAAAAATACATTTCAGCCTGAGAAGCAAGAGGCTGCCATGAGCCGCCAGACCTGCTGCTCTCCCTGCTGAGTCATTTCTGCCCAGCTGAGTTTCTCTGAGCTGGGGATCCTCAATCTTGGAATGTGTTCCTACATCAGTACACTCTGGGATGAAGGCACTGCAGCGAATGCCAGTGACCAGAAAGCGTTGGGAGTGTTGTAACCGGTGTCACTGAGCTGACCAGCCCTCACCTGGGCTGGACCAGGGATGCTGCTGCATCTCACTGCATCCTGGTAGCAGGAGGAAATGCATTGCTTGGAATGCAAACTGTTAACTACTGGGGGGAGGGATCTCATTTTCCCATGTAGGAGGGAACTATATGGGGGATCTGACAGCAAGGGGACAAACAGCGTTTCAGGAGGGATAGTTCTGCATCCTTCCCAAAAGGAGATCTAACCCCCTTTAAGACAAATCCTGTTAGGAAAGGAAAAAGCTTTACAACCAGTTAAAAGAGAGGAATAACCACCCAAGCAGGCCAGGAAGGCATCCGGCACTGCCAGCCCAATAGAGAAGATGGATTGCACAAGGGAAGCACAGATAGTTGCATCCTGTGTTTCTGCACTCAGAGCCACATATTTAGCAGCCACCCTTGACCCAGCCCTCTCTAGATTTGCTTAATCCTTTTATGAACTCATTTCTTCTCCCTCAATGTCCCAAGGAAACAAGTTACAGGCTTTAATTGCTCATGAGTTTTTCACCATGTTACCTAATAGCATTTTACTCTGCTTGTAAGCTATAACCCCAGTCCTAACCCTACTGCTGCAAGTGAAACCACTTCTGGTGTTGCAGCTGCCTCAATTACACGGCTGGAATAAGATTTGTGCCTGTAACGTACCTGGTGTTGGTCAAATTCCTTCATTGCTTCCTCCACGCTCCGGATGTAGTTCACACCATGAAACCAGGAGAGGCGGGGGATGAATCCAGTGTACCCTGGGGATGAAGACAAGAGAGAACATTGTCTGCTTGAGAACATAGAGATCCTATAGACATCAACCAGCCTGGAAGTGGAAGAGGCTGGGATAAATACAAAACCTCAGCAGAGCACAGGAAGGCAAAACGCACCCATTTAAAGTGTAAAATTAACTCTTACCTGTCGAGTATCTGTTCTGAAAGAGTCTTTTTTACAATGCCCAAGGAAAACTCAATGGATTGAACTGATCTGGGTGCATCTCCATGAGGTATGGAAGAAACATTTCATTTTCTTATAGCCTTTCCTGTGCACCAACAGCTCTGTCATGTTCTCTCCCAGTTTAATACACATTCAGGAGCTAACAACAAGGCGTCCAACCTTTCTTCCTCACTTGCCCTGCCCATCCAACAGATCTCCATCAAGTACGAGACAGAAACTATATGAAGTCTAAACCTACATAAAACATAGTGAGGTACATCTAAAACCCAGGCAGAACTCCCTCTTCCCAAAGGAATGCTTTGAAGAGAGAAAATAGTCTTCTGCATCCTGAAGCATCGATGCTCTTTCGCTTTGACTGCAATACTCTGGCACAGAGCTCCTGTTTGCTGTGGTCCACTGCAGAGTGAAGATCCTGCCCCGTGCATCACCCTCCACCATGCTCAGGCTCTTCCAGAGCAAGTGCAGAAGCTACAGAACAGACCTCCTTGTCCACCAGCTTTATACAGTCCTGGTGGTGCGATGCATCACTGCTTGTTGGCTGCATGATTGTGGAAGGGCTCTTGTTGCTGAGAGAGAAAGAACCACCACAAGGGCAGCAGGAGGTGGTGCAGAGCCCATGGCCCAGCTCTGCATTTCTGGAGCATTTTCTAGCCTGGCCCCAGTACTGTAGGGACTTCACATGGCTCCTGCATCCCATCCATGATGAGCTCTCCTGCCCATGGAGAGCATCCCAGAGGAACACCCTTACATGGAGAGAAGCAGTGGCATTTTCCATCCCAAAGCGTTAACTGAACTGGAATGACCAGCCAGGATCCCTGAGGTTTCCCATGGGGAAGGATGGTGACATGGCTCTTTCCAAGGGGGACTCCTGCTGCACGTGGCTTCCCTCCCTGTTACCTGTGATGACTTTCTGCTGGATCACGTTTGATAGCTCTGTTTCTGCCAACCAAAACTCCTCCTCCTCGGCCCCGTTGGTTCTCATGGGCTCCTGGGTCAGCGGTGGCAATGTCACCTGCCCCTGCGTTACAGGTTCAGAGCAAGAGCAGTAAAAGCTGTTTCTTCCTACAGCTCCATTGCTTAAATCAGCAACAGAACCTATGAATGGCAGCTGCTGTTTCCTGTTCTTCATAGAATCATAGAACAGTTCGGGTTGGAAAGGACCTTCAGATCACCCAGTTCCAACCCCCCCTGCCATGGGCAGGGACACCTCACACTAAACCAGGGCACCCAAGGCTCTGTCCAACCTGGCCTTGAACACTGCCAGGGATGGAGCATTCACAACCTCCCTGGGCAACCCATTCCAGTGCCTCACCACCCTAACAGGAAAGAATTTCCTCCTTATATCCAATCTAAACTTCCCCTGTTTAAGTTTTAACCCATTACCCCTTGTCATGTCACCACAGTCCCTAATGAAGAGTCCATCCCCAGCATCCCTATATGCCCCCTTCAGATACTGGAAGCTGCTCTGAGGTCTCCACGCAGCCTTCTCTTCTCCAGGCTGAACAGCCCCAACTTTCTCAGCCTGTCTCCATACAGGAGGTGCTCCAGCTTTTTCTTCCCAGCTTTACACTAGGAGCTACCCAAAGGTTTCTGGTGAAGTCCCATTGCACGTGCCCGCTGCACACAGAGCCTCTCCTTTGGGCACTGAGCTCCTCTCTAAATCTGCTTCTCAGAGCAAGGAGCAGGAATGCCCTTCCCTGGGATTTCTGTCCCAGGCAGCTGTTGATGTGATGGGCATCAGATCCTTACTCTCTGCCCTCAGGGAGCATGCAGAGCCCTGGCTGGCTGGAGCGGGATGGAAGAAATGAGGGGCTCAGACACATTGGTCCCAAGTGATCCTGGCTTTGCTGTGTGAAACAGCACCAGCCCCAGAGGCAAACACAGTGCTTGTGCTTAAGGGATAACCGTGGTGAGAAACTCAGGTGGGAGCAGGGAAGGGACCAGATACCCAGTGCAGTATCCAAAGGGGACAGGAGGAAGAGGGTGTCAGGGCTGCCAGTTCACCCAAAGGAAACACAGGCCTGGCACAGTGCGAGATCTGATGATGGCTGGGATTTGAAGCTAAAACTTCAGCAAATAAGAAGTTCAGGCTTTTTAATTAGGAAAAGTAATTAATGAGTACCGCAATTTCCTGGGTATGGAATGGACTTGCTACTGCTGGAAATGTTTCTGTGTTTGATATCCTCTACGTGACACTCTAAGCTCTCTGCCCTTGTCATCCACACCCACATCATAGAATCCCAGCCTGGTTTGGGTTGAAAGGACCTTAAAGCCCATCCAGCTCCAACCCCTGCCATGGGGTTCCACTGGAGCAGCTTGCTCCAAGCCCCTGTGTCCAACCTGGCCTTGAACACTGCCAGGGATGAGGCAGCCACAGCTTCTCTGGGCACCCTGTGCCAGCGCCTCAGCACCCTCACAGGGAAGAGCTTCTGCCCAAGATCCAACCTGAATCTCACCCATTTAAGTTTAAAGCCATTCCCCCTTGTCCTTTCATTACAGCCCTGATGATGAGCACGTCAGGGTCCCTTTTCACACCCCTGTTCCAAGGAGATCCCTTCCATGCCCACCAGTCCCAATCCCCATCCCTCCACAGCAGCATCCTCTACCCCGTGCCTGTTCCACCCCAGACCACTTACTGGTGCGCTTCCTGCCCAGGCACCACCGCACTGGCCGGGTCCACACCTTCGTGTCAGCCACTCTCGCCCTTCGGCCTCAGGATAGCGTGGAACACTGGGGGGGTATTCCCGAAGCACCTGTGTCCTCGGGACGTGCTCGCCGGGGTGCTCCCGGGGCTCAGGGTCCGTCTGCATCATGGTCAGCTCTTCCTCGGCCAGCTCCGGCTTCAGCCGAGGCAGCCTGGCCTGAAGGAGTGGGTCAGGGAAGGTCGCTGTAGCCCCAGCTCTCTCATAGGGAAAGCACCCTGTGGAATGACAGCGAGGTAAGGGGGAGGAGAGGCTGAGTGGGGGGTTCCCATCACCCTGGACTTCAGCCCCTTGTAGCGAAGGAAAGGAGCCTGGAGCTCAGCAGCATCCCATAGGCTGTGAATGCATCCCGTGGGTGCCATCGGCCCGCCCAGGTAACCATCCTGCACGGGCAAATGCACAAAGAGAAGCTCAATAGCTTACAATTGAATCTAAATGACACCTAAGCTCTACAATACCAGCAGCTGAGTTATAAAGGGAAAATAGACCCCAATGTGTCCCTTTGCTCCCTGCACCCCAAACACAGACCCATGGATTCAGCACTGCCTTGAGCTCTCCGATCCCATCATGGAAAATACCCCGGAGGAGCCCAGGCAAGGCTGCAGGGAAGGGGTTAAGGAATCCCTCACTGACAGCAGGAGCTGGGGATGAAGTCACCAGCAGCAGCCAGTGCTTCCCAGCTCCAGTGCTGGCAGATGCAGTAAGGGCTGGTGAGGAGAGCATGGAATGGGGACAGGGTAATGAGGGAGGGCAAGCGGGCTGACTGGTTAGTTGGGTCCATCCAAACCGCAGCTTAATCCCAGGACATGCAGATGTAAATGTCCAGGTATGAAGCCCGTAAACACCATCTGTGGTGGAGACCCGGCTCCCGGGAAACAGGGCTGGGATGGACAGAGAGAGTGGAAGATTCCAAGCTGCATGGCACAAATTCCCAGCAGGAAACGGGAAAGCATCGCTTTGATGTGGCCATCCCCAGGGAAATGGAGACCCAGATCCTGCTGGGAATGCTGCCCTCAGCCTGGAGAGGACTCGCTTCCACCAAACAGGGCATCCACATGGTGTGGTACATGGCACACGTGTCTCCACAGGATGGATCATGGGATAGCTGCTGCTGCTGCAGCCTATTTTGGGTCTGCTCCACAGGGACCAGGCACTTTGGCTGAAAGAGCTGGGATTTGGCAGGAAATTCCTGCAGATTCCCAGCATTGGGAATCTAGAGGAGCATATCTCAGTGTCTGATGGAGGAGATGGGGCCTGCGAGCAGGGAAAGAGGAAGAGGGAAAGTGGGAATGGGCACACAAGCCCATCCAGTGATCTGAGGTAGGAGCATTAGGATGCAAACTGAATTACAAGCTGTGAGAGCTCTTGAGGAGAGCAAGCCCTGTACCAGGGGGGTCAGCTGGGAAAGGGCTGGGAGCAGCAGAGCTGAATGTTCCCAGAGGATGGATCTGAGTCCTTGGAATTGTGCTGGGGTGATCGGGGAACCCTCACAGCTTGGGTCTGTGCTGCAGCGCTGCTCACACAGGGATGCTCCAGTCACTGCTGATGGGCAGCGCTCACACAGGGATGCTCCAGTCACTGCTGAGCAGCACTCACACAGGGATACTTCAGTCACTGCTGATGGGCAGCACTCACACAGGGATGCTCCAGTCACTGCTGATGGGCAGCACTCACACAGGGATGCTCCAGTCACTGCTGATGGGCAGCACTCACACAGGGATGCTCCAGTCACTGCTGATGGGCAGCGCTCACACAGGGATGCTCCAGTCACTGCTGATGGGCAGCGCTCACACAGGGATGCTCACACAGGGATGCTCACACAGGGATGCTCACACAGGGATGCTCACACAGGGATGCTCACACAGGGATGCTCACACAGGGATGCTCACACAGGGATGCTCCAGTCACTGCTGAGCTGCACTCACACAGGGATGCTCCAGTCACTGCTGAGTGCTGCTCACACAGGGATGCTCCAGTCACTACTGAGTGCTGCACACACAGGGATGCTCACACAGGGATGCTCCAGTCACTGCTGAGCAGCGCTCACACAGAGCCAGGACCTTTTCTCCTCCTCCTGCAAGCAGCTGGGGGGGGGCACATGGAACTGGGGGAACGCAGCCAGGCAGTGACCCCGACTGACCCAAGGGGTATCCTGGACCATGTAGCACCATGCTCAGCAATGAAACTGCGGGGACATTGAAGGGGGGCTGCTGCTTGGGGGCTGGCTGGGCATCACACAGTGATGGTGAGCAATGGTTTCCAATGGCATCACTTGTCTTGCCCGGGGTTTGTTTCTATCTTTTTGGTATTTTCCTGTTCATTACAATTTATTGCTATTTTTCTATTCCAACTATTAAAAACTATTACAAATAAATATGAAAATTTTATCTCAATCCATGAGTTTCCTCACTTTTATCCTGATTCTCCCTTATCCTACAGCAGTGGGATGAGTGACCAAGTGGCTGTCGGGGTTTAGTTGCTGGCTGGGGTTAAACCATAACAGGAACATGGAAGCATTTCATAACACAGCAAATCCCCATCTACCTCCATCTAACAGCAGGCAACCCGGGAACTTAAACCTCCCCTCCCTACCCCACCGAACACCAACGGGGCTCAGCTCTGCTTCGCACTGATGCTGCTGCCCCAGAGCTGTGATTGAGCCATGGATAACAGGAGCCGTGCGCGTTGGAGCAGGGCCCGGGCTGTGCTCACCTGGGTGCCCGGGGGGGCGGCCCTGGCCTCCGTGCTTGTCCCCACTGAAGTCCTCAATGACCTCCGGCTTCTGCAGCGGCGCGGGCAGAGCGCGGGGGCCGCGGGCAGCGGTGGGGCCGCGGGCAGCGGTGGGGCCGCTCAGCAGCCGGTGCGTGGCTCTGCCGAAGGTCTCCCCGGCCTGGAAGCGGTACTGGGGGATGAAGCCCTCGTAGCTGGGGAGGAACCAAAGAGCGGTCACTGCGGGGGGCTGGGACGGGCCCATTGCTTGGGGCTGTGCGGCACCGGGAAGGTCGCAGCCGGGAGCACGGAGGGGCTGGGGAGCGGGGGAGCAGGGGGGTGCCTGCGGGCAGGAAGGAGAACGGGAGCAGCACGGAGCGGGTGTGCGGGGCTCGGCACGAAGCCAGGCAGGGGTGTGTGTGTGTATGTGTGTGTGTGTTTGTATGTGTGTTTGTATGTGTGTGTTTGCACATGTGTGTGCTTGTACAGGTGTGTTTTCACACATCAGCATGCAAACCGGCTGATGGGTTTACAGGCACAGGCTCAGTGCTTCTGTTCATGGGGAATACAGAGAGCGGCCAAAGCAGCGCCTGCAGAGAGGAAAACTTCATAGAATCCCAGCCTGGTTTGTGTTGGAAGGGACCTTAAAGCTCCTCCAGCTCCAACCCCTGCCACAGGCAGGGACCCCTTCCACTGGAGCAGCTTGCTCCAAGCCCCTGTGTCCAACCTGGCCTTGACATCGGCTGCAGTCACTGGAACAGCCCCAGTTAAACACAGCTCTGGTTCAGATGCTCCTCTCCCTCTCTCTGTTACTGGGAATTCCCCGTGTCCCTGTTTCAATACTGGAACTCCAACCAAACTCCTGCAGGATGCGCTGCTCCAGCCCCCCGGTGCCTGGCAGTTGTGTGGCTCAGGGTGCTGGAGCCCTGGCTCCATCAGCACCGATCGGGAGCTCCCGCTGTTCCCGGCACCACAGCTCCTCACAGTGATGTTATTCCACCTCTGAAGCAGGAAGGCAGAGCTGCCGGTTGCCATGTACAGACACAAACACTGAAGGAGCCCACTGCCTACCCAGGACCAAAGCCAGATGATGCACAAGGATCATAAGATGATGAGCAAGTACTTTCCCTTCCAAATGCTTTCCCCAAGAGCAAGCAGAGCCACACATTTCCACTTGGCAAGCGGTCCCGCTTTGCATGCAGGATCTCGGCAGCACCTCGGTGCCTCCTCCCCATTGATTTTCAATGGGTGTTGCAACATGGGAGAGCTGCACCGGGACCATAAAGCTGAGCAAGGGCACAAACGGCTCAGCCCAGGTAATGACAGGGTGGGGGGAGAGCTGCATTCAACTCATGGCAATTAAAAGCGAGGCAACAGGAGGAGCTCGGCTGAGTCAGGCTGGGCTGTGGGGAAGGGATGTGCCACGGAGTGAATGAATGGTAAGGGCTGCGCTCACAGCGGGGCTGCTCCTGCCTTGGGTTTGGCTGAAGAACCCAGAGGGATGCCCCTGTCCCTGCAGTCGCTGCTCCCACCCCTCACTGCCCTCCCCAGGGCCTCCCCCCTGCCCCTCGCTCAGCCCTGTCTCTGCCATCGCCGCTCCCAACCAGCAGCACCCAAACCTGCTCCTGGGCACCGGGAAGGGCCTGGGCCCCGCACCCTGCGCAGCTGCATGGAGCTGGCCATGGATTTACCCCTTCTGTGCACAGAGTCCTTCCCAAACCAGCCCAGCTCCTCAGCGCTGCTCTGCCGTTTCCAAAGCCCCATCTGTGACCATTGCCCAGCACAAGCGGCAGCGGCCGATGCTGATGTCCTTGTGTCCATGGCACGGCCCACGGGACAAGCGGTGAGGTGCTGCAATGCAGCATCCTCCTCCTGCAGTGCCCAGCGGGGTGCAGGGGCCAATGGCTCTGGTGGTGCCCTTCAGGCAGCTCCTCCCTGTGCCCAGCACCCAAAGCAGATGCAAAGCAGCACCCATTCCAGTGCCTCACCACCCTAACAGGAAAGAACTTCTTCCTTATATCCAATCTAACCTTCCTCTGTTTAAGTTTTAACCCATTACCCCTTGTCCTATCACTACAGTCCCTAATGATGAGTCCCTCTTCAGCATCCCTATAGGCCCCCTTCAGATACTGGAAGACTCTTATGAGGTCTCCACGCAGCTTCTCTTCTCCAGGCTGAACAGCCCCAACTTTCTCAGCCTGTCTCCATACGGGAGGTGCTCCAGTCCCTGAGCATCCTTGTGGCCTCCTCTGGACTTGTTCCAACAGTTCCATGTCCTTTTTATGTTGAGGACACCAGAACTGCACACAATGCTCCAGGTGAGGTCTCACAAGAGCAGAGCAGAGGGGCAGGATCACCTCCTTTGACCTGCTGGTCACACTCCTTTTGATGCAGCCCAGGTTTCTGGTCTGCAAGCGCACACTGAAGCCGGCTCATGTTCATTTTCTCACTGACCATCACCTCTTACCATCACAGTCTGGCTGCTTCTTTCCAAGCCTTTGGAGGAGAACATCACAAAAAGCTTTGGAAAACCCCCTAACCACGTATGAACCAGCCCACAGCATCCACAGCCCCCGACTCTTCAAAGGGCTTGATCCAGCAGCAGGGCTGTGCTCTGCCCAACCTGACAAGAGTGCCCGATGCCTCTGCAAGCATCTATCCAATGGAGGCCTTCGAACAGCCTTGATGCAGGAGTTATGGCAGTTTGGAGCCAACCCCTGCACAGCTGCCCTGGTGCCATTTGCTGCTTAAAGCAAGTTAAGAAAGGGAGTGGGGGGGAAGGAACAATTTTGGCCTTACCCTCAATGCACTATGGCAGAGCCTTTTGCTGTACCCTTTTATAAAGCAGTGCTCCTCATGCTGGAGCCCTGCCTCCTCTGGAGCAGGAGTTTTTAACCATGTCTTAAACAAAACCAAACAAGCAGCTTCCCACGGCTCAGAACTACAGATCTCAATGGGAGCTGTTTGCATTGAACAGGCATTTTGGATGAACTTACCCAGGGATATGGTAGGGATGGGAAGGGAAGATGCTGCTTTCCTTGGAGGCTGCCATGGCAATGCAGCAGCTCTGGCTGGTGGGAGGAAGGAGATGCAGCACAATGCAGTTGCCCCAGAAACCTCTGTGATGCACCAGGAGCTGTGTTGTGTTGCGCCTGGCAACGCTCCCAGCTCCTCAGGTTTGGCTGGACACGGCCTTTGTTTCCCCCCATCCTGGGTGAGCAGGGAGATGTCACAGTGCTTGTCAGGTCCCCCAGGGCTGGTACCCCTGGGACAGCTGTGCCAGAGGTTCCCCACCAGCAGCCCCAGCAAGGTCTGGAGAGCCCCAGTCACTGCTGCAGCAGAGGCTCAAGGATTCCCCATGCTACAGGGGAAGGCTCAGCCTTCCTCTCCCTCAGTGCCTCCTGCTCTGGCTGTGTGAGGATGCACCCCTTTGCTTCACACACACAAGGGTTGTGCCCATTCCCAGCACCATACAGGTGACTGTGTCCTGTGTGTGGTGGGGTTCACCCCCTCCAGCTGCAGGCAGGCACAGAACATGGGGTCTCCTGCACTGAGCAGCTGCCATGGCCAGCACATCACAGCCCACAGCGCCCTGAGCACCAGCATCATTTCACCAACTCCAGTACCAGCAGTGAGGCTGGGCCTGGGGAGCTCAGCCACAGCGCTGAGGTTTCAAAGCACTAACCAGAAACCAGAGCTCTCATCTGTTCAGGTCCCTGCTCCTCCACCCGAAAGCTTCTCTGCAGAGGTAAAATTGCTGCTTTGGCTCCTGCCCTTGGTGCCAGTGAGGGATCTGGAGTTTCCAGCCTTTATAAATGTATTGAGTTTGCCCAGCTCCTGAGCAGCACCATGGGACAGCCCCAGGTCTGTGAGGGGGTGAGGGCTCTTCTCAGAGGTGAGCAGTGAAAGACAGAGGAGATGACAGGTACAAGATGCACCAAGGGGCAGGCCCAGTGCACACAAGGAGGGAGCAGCACAGCCCTGGGGCAGGGGTGGCATCTCCATCCTCAGAGATCTTCAAAGGCCAGATGGGCAAGGCCAAGAGCAGCCCAATGGAGCTTTGTGGTCAGCTCAGCTTTTGGTGGGCAATTCAATAAGAGACCTACAGAGGTTCCTCGAAGCCCAGGTCTTCTGATTTTAACATGAAGAAACGGCTTACTGAAATACAGCACTGTGTTAATGACACCAAACAGCGATCCCAGGCTGGTCCAAGCCCCACTGGCCCAAGGGGGTTCAGGTCAGCATCATCCCAGCACTTCCAGAAGCTCCCTTCAAAGCTCACTCCTTTAAATGACCAATGGCTGCTCCTTCAAACCTGGGGTTCCACACGTACCAAAGAGCTACTGAACAATCAGAGCAAGGTATCTGTGCTCAGTGCAGGCACCTGGGTAAAAGAATAAAGCAGAAATCACTTTTGTCAAGGTTATCATCAGAATTTATTGATATGAGAGAAACTTTGTATGTCCACATGTCAAGAGAGGAACAGTACATCCCGATGGAACAAGTACAGGGCCCATCCAGATGACCTGACAGTGCTCTGGCACCTCTGAACTCCAAAGTACAGGAGATGACACACAGGGCCAGCACCCACCCAGTGCCCCACAGGCTGCAGCAGGGACCACGCTGGCTTTGACTCCCATTGCCCAGCTCCAAGCAGGCACTGCACAGGTAACAGCAGCTCCTCACCACCCCTGCAGTCAAACAGGGGAAAACACCTATCTGGGGTGAGCTCCACCTTGGAGATGGGGTGACTTGGACCCTTTGCTCAGAGGACCAGCTCACATGCAGGTGCTGGGGAGCCCCACACTGGGTCTGCAATGGGACAACCTGGGTCCTACCAAGCGAGCCACAACTGGGAATCTTCAGGATGGAGTTTGCCCTGCCCAGGGAGCAGCCCCAGCCACGCTCCAGGCTGGCACCTGCCAATGCAGCTGCAGGTTACTGCCTTCAACATAACATTTATCCTCAGGTGCTGAGTGTTTGGACATTCCCCTGTCAGCAGTGCCCTCGCAGAGCTCTCAGCACAGCCATTCACACTGAGCTTGCGGCTAAGACAAAAGCTGTCTTGTTATCCTTACTGGAAATACATGCTATGCTGGATGCTGGTTAAAAGGCAGCAAGTGCTGAGCTTTCATCTTCTCCCAGCTTATGAAATACTTGGTTTGGTCCTAAGTATCTTGCTAAAGGATTAGAAAGGGAATAGCAGAGTATTCCCCAGGCACTGGGTAAATCCTCAATGGATTTATTGCAGAGCTGAATTCCCTCCCTCACTCCAAACGGATTTCAGAGCCCTCTAAAACCCTCCAGAGAATGAGCTGTTTGTGACAGGACAAACAAAAACCAACCCCAAGTTCAATGGTCTCATGCTGTGCAGGGAGCACCCAGAGCAGAACAGACACCCAAACTAAGGGGATGTGTCAGTCCCATCCACAATGCCAGATCTGACCACAGCCCAAGTGCATCTGCCTGGCCAACAGCAGGAACCCTGCCACAGCCCTGAAGAGGAACCACGAACACTCAACATACGTGTCAGGGCATGTGCACACGTGTGTGCTGAGGGACCACCCGTACTCTGCTCCTCCTCTCACAGGAGCTGTGACAAGGGACACGGCAGGTTCTGCGCTCAGCCGTTCGGTTTCACCAGATCCCAGTTCCCTCTGCACAGGTAACAGCATTGACTTAGAGATCTCATATTAATGGGTACTTATACAGGATTAATTGCACATCAGTCCATTGTGGCTACAAGTTCATTAGGCTAATGAATCTACATAGTGACAGTAGTACAGTATCAGCTACGTTTCAATACAAACTCCCTAGCCTAGCCTTAATCTGTAGGTCAGAAGAAGATCTTCCACCACCATGATCTTCCTACAACCTTTAACATTCATTTTCAAAGTTATTTATCTAGAAAACAAACAAAATCCAGTGTGGGGAAAACGCACATATAGAACAAAAGCAGTGCTTAACAACCACAGGAAAAAAGAACATCAGCTTGGACTCTGGGATCAGCATCCTCTGTACACCCTGGCAGCGTTACTTCCAAAGGGTTGCTAAATGCTCCGTCAGTTCTCAAGTCCATAAAAGCATTTCCTAGCTCTAAACGTTTCTAGTCTCTCACTATACATATTGTCTGTAGCAAGAGCATACAGAAACACTTGCTAATGTGCACAAGACTTCCATTTGATTTAATGGAATAGTTTTAGAAGACTGAAGTCTTTACTTGTAGAAGTACAACTGTTTGTGAGTGGCAGTGCTCTCACCGACTGGCAGCTTCTGTTCCACCCAGGAGAAAGCTCCAAGTCCCTCAAGGTTTTACTCATCTATGTTGCCCAAAGGTGTGTGGGTATCCAAGAAAACCCCTCTCACAGTATTCCCAGGAAATGATTCAGAAGAGGAGATGATTTTTCAACCAAATGAGATCCTCTGGTCTTGTGTGTCAGACCATGGCCAATAGAATGAGCAGCTGCCATGGACGTCTCAACTTAAATACGGTTCAGTCAAGGGAGGAGAGCAAGGTGGCCTGACCATCTTCTGTGAGGTACAGGCAGAGAGGCACCAAAGTCACTTCTGTTCTCAACAGTTTGTCTCTTTTTCCTGGAGTCAAATGTTTGATTCCATTTGTTCTAGCAGGAAGTGGTGAATCATGTCAAAAGTGGGACGATCTTTTATATCCCTGCTCCAACATTTCAACATCAGGTCAAACACAGGGTTAGGGCACAGAGGAGTCTGGGAGAGATAGATCTGCAAGGAAGAAAGGTACAGCTGTTTCAGTGGGTTTTCATATGAGAATTGAACACCAAGAGGACAGTTTCACTCCAGGTTCACAAGACACAGCCATCATGCAACGCTTGAAATCCATTAAGCATGAATCTGGCAGTGGAGTCTGGATGGAGCTTTGATGCCATCTCAAATGGCACTGCAGACACTTTGCCAACAGATTTGATGAGATGGTCACAAAACAGTGCTTTGTGCCCCAGGAAACACGAATGCTTCAGAGAGATTTGTCTTCCAAGTGACAGCAACATACAAACCAAACCCAAATTTACCACAGTAATATCCAAATACTTCCACTCACCGTAGACACCCCATGAGGCTTTCTAAGCATCGTGACAGCTTGTTAGCAGAGAGAAAAAACACCTTTTAGAGCTCATCTAAAGCACAGCCTGGCAGAACTGTTTCCCCTCTCATTCCAATACACATCTTTTAGGCTCTTCACTAAATCATTAGCATTCAGGAGACAGTGAATAAAACCTCCCATTATTTTATTCCCCTTAATCCTTTAACTTGACTGGTGCTAAAGGTGAATTTGGGGAGAATAGCAAACTGCTTACAACCTGCACTCCATGTTTTTGGGTGCAGTGATGCTCAGTACTGCAGGGCTGTCCTGCATCATCGCTGGTGTCTATTGAAGGCAGTGGAGCACACTGTCCTCCCTGGGAGCTGGCCGGAGAGGACAGAATGATACAGACAAGCCCTTCAGGCAGAGATGGCCAAAGGCTTCTTGGCATATGTGGAGACATTCCAAAGAGTATCTAATCCCTGGGAACTAACAACTCTTCCTTCCCCACCTCAGTAAGTGCTTCCTGGTCTTTCACAGATAATGCTAGCAGGAGAGAGATGTGAAACAAAAAAAAAGCACAAGGATTGTGTAGCAGAGGCCAGAAAAGCCAAGGACAGAACAGACTGAGATAGAAGTGGCTTATGATAAGGAAGAAACACTGGAGAGGGCCAAAAGATTCTTCCAGTGGGATTCCAGGACAGGAAAGCTGGTGCAATGAGCAAAGAGGAAGAGAGGTGGGACACACTGAGAAGGTGAGTAATGCAGAGTCCTGCAGATGATGTAAGGCCAGCAGAAAGGCTCTGGGAGGTCCACCAGGATGTGACCAGGTCAAGTGAAGGAAGGAGAGGTCATGTTTGCTGTCTTACCTGCCTGCCCTGGCTCCGGAAGAACTCCCCTGTGTTCTCAATGACTTGCTCATCCGAGAGGAGGCTGTAAGGTTGCTCCTTACACAGTATGAACATCTCCCAGAGGGTGACCCCAAAGGCCCAGACATCACTGGCTGTGGTGAACTTGCCCTGTGAATGAAAGAATGTTGTCAGCCCAGGTTGCTCACAGAGCACATTCAGCAGAACCCATTCCAATCTACATCCTCTGCAGCTAGACA